AGTCATTTTCTTAGTATTTTATTACCTATATTATTAGTGAGTTAATTATATCATGATGTGATCAATGGCCGGTACAAGTTGTACAACTATAATATATATACACGTGGTCAATGTGAGATAGAAAAGTACTACGTAACTCTATATTTCTCATTCTCTTTCTCTTCTCTTCTCTTCTCTCTCTTGGGTATTAAGGTGGACGAGTTTATGCATATAATTGAGGTTTATACGTGAGGAAGTATCAACTTTAAAATATTGCATAGCAAGCCTTTGAATGTCAAAGAACAATTTTTCTTACTCTTATTTAATTTAATTTTACTTTATTTATATATAATCATAATCCATTATTTATCATATTTAAATTCAATTTCAGTTTACTTGTATCATTGTTGATCAAATAATATTTAGTGCAAAACTTTATTATTTTTTATTATTATTGTAAAATTGATCTTCATTATATTTGTTATTATTGCTGTATAATTAGTTAAGATTTGAGATAATATTGTATGAGTTATGTATTTTCATTATCTCAATTTATAAATGAGAATTTTTTTTATATATCATCGTGTATGAATGTATGTAACGTATGTTTACAAAATCCGCAACCTAAAACAAGTAATCATTGTTATTGTTGTATAATTAATTAAGATTTGAGATAATATTGTGAGTTATGTATTTTCATTATCTCAATTTATAAATGAGAATTTCTTTTATTTGTATCATTGTGTATGAGTGAATATGTACGTTTACAAAATCCGCAACAAAATATTTACCTAGAGCAACGAATCTGCCTCATGAATTAAAAAAAGTGAATGAAGCTTACACCACTCGAAATCATGTAATAAAACCACGTGAGTGGTCAACCTAAAACTTAGGCTAAAAGTGATTAAAGCAATAAGTATCTATGTTTGCTATGATTTAAGTATCATGAAGAATGGATTAACGACACCACAGCACCCTACGCACTTTAATCCTCACATCAAATTGCCTAATGTTATCCATTATTTTTATTTTTTTTTAACTCCACGGAGTGAATTCACTTTTTTTTTTATTTAGTTTATGCACTTTGATTTTTGTATTTATTTGTTTAGGTAAACTTGACTCACGCCGTCATCTATAGTTTTTAATTATTGATGCGACGAAGTGTATCGGAATTGAGATTAATATTCTGTAACGGATTCGAAATCCCAGTTATAATTAACGAAATCAGTATCCCAATTATAATTTTTTTTTTTTGGACCTCCAAAGTATGTCCAAAATGCATCAATTTGCTACTTTTTCCGGCATAATTCAACAAAAGTAAATTTATAGTGAATTTTATTGAAAAAATAAAAGAATTGCTTCAACAGAGCCCAAATACAATAATATAATATTAATTTTTTTCGGAATATAATAATATAATATTATTGTTGGAGGAATATTAACACCCAGCTAAGCACTTGAAGAGTACAACAAGATGTGATATCGATTTCACGTTTAAGTGGCAAATAACATGTGAGTCCCATTGTGAGATACAAAAATACAAAACTTTTATAGTTTAATTTGTTTTTTTCCCTGGAAGAGCTTTTTTCAGTCATTTTCTTACGATGTTGGATTTTTGACTTTTCTCCAACATATATGTAGGGATGTGTACTTTTCCATTTTTTTCCCTGGTAGAGCTTTTTTCAGTCATTTTACTATATTTTCATTATTTATTTTTTCGTTGAAGTTTTCTATCTCCATTGTGTGTGGCCAAATGGTACAGTTGAAACAACTGACCGATATAATCAGATATGCCAAAGAAAATTAGGGCAAAGATTAAAGTAGAGTTTGAAGGGCCAATACGAGAGATATATTAGTTAGGTGAGATTGCGACGCTGCCGCTTTTACATTCTTCATAAATATGAATAATTAGAATTCTTATTGTATTTTTTTTTATTTAGACATAATAATTGATTTATGTTTTGTTTGATAGGACGAAAGGAAGAAGGATGAAAGGAAAATAAGAGGGAATGAACAAAGTTCCTTCATTTGGTAGGAAGGAGCCAGGGAGAGAAAGGATAATAGGAGGGACCCTCCTCCTCTATAAATTTTAATCTGTCCAAATGTGAGCGGAAGACACAAGAAAAAATAAGTAAAGTTGTTATAAAAATATTAAATTACAATATTATCCTTCAAAATCCCTACACATCTCATCTTGCGCAAAATCTTTCTATCTTGCTCTTGCTACATACATATATAGATTGATTCATGTGTTACAAACTTATTTGATTAATTTGTTATGTATATGTGTATATATATATATATATGTATATGTATGTATATATATATATGTGTGTATATATATATATATGTGTGTGTGTCTGTGTGTGGATTGTTTGTTTTATAATTGCCTTAGTAGTATAAAAAAGGATCAGAGGAAAAAAGTGTAATTATTATTGCTCCTTGACTACTCACCCCATTGTTAATCTGATGACAATGTCTTTCACATTCTCATAAAAATATGATGTCAAGCTAAATTCATATTGGTTAAAATTATCGGAAATAAAATAGGGATAGTGGTCCTTGGAATGCTAGATTTTGTTTTCAATTTAATGTTATATATATATATAAAAGAGGCAAACAACAAATTAGAGTGAAATTAGAGATAAAAAAAATACTGATGGGTATAAGGATAAAAATAATATAAAATTATCATTTCCCCTGTCTCCTAACGAACAAAGGAAGTTGTCAATTTTTTCTCTTCACTTCCACCCAACAAAACAAAAAGAGGGAAATTCATATTCTCTTCTCTAGGGATGTCTCATTTTTCCCTTCTTCCCTTCCTTCCATCCAATTTTTTTCCGTCCTACCGAACGAAGCATTAGTGTAACGTGTGGACTTTTATTTATTTTTTAAAAAATTTAAGTTATTGGGGTAACGCAATATACTCACCTATTTATATTAATTCATTTTTTTATCCGAATTCGAATTAAACGCGGAAAAACTCTCCCTTATAACATTTATTTCGTTAATTTTTTTGATTAATTTATTATTTTTATTTGGACACGGTTATATTTAGACGCAAATTATATCTTTAGTGTGTGTGTATATATATATATATATTTCTCACAGCTTCCACCGAAGCTTGAATCTCTGATCACTCTTTGAAAAGTAAGTGTTTAAAATTGCTAGGTCACTGACCCATTGATTTGGATCTTTAGTACGAAGAATGGGATATGAAAAGTATGACAAATAATAAATTAATAATTGCATCCAACGTTCAAAACTTACTTACAAAATAATATTTAGATAATCTCTTTAAATATTTCCATAAATATATCTTTGAATTTCCTTTTCTTTTTTTTTTTTTTTGGTGAACTTAGTCAAGCCAACAAAGCTGGAGAACCTTCGAAGTCCCCCTATTCCAATCTCATTTTAAATAATTATTGCACTGAAATTTCACAACACAGTTGTCTGTCCTCTCTCTCTCTCCACAATTAAGTCCAACCATTTTTCATGAAATGGACAAACTATTCTTCAACAATAAAGTAGGTATCAACTATCAAGTATAAGCATGCCATCTAACGTTCCTTTTTTCCCTTAATGAATGCCAATTAAAATTTGATACAAAGAATTCGGATCCCTTTTATAGAGAGAATTATATGTCGTGTTCGGTATCAATAATGTAACGTACGTATTACATTATAGTGCAATAATTTTACGAAAGAAAATAATGAAACGATATAGGAAATGACCGGGATGGTGAGTTTTAATTTTTTGTAATTTAATAACGTCGCCTTCGTCGGTGAGAAAACTCAAAACGCGGGCATCTCTAGCCCACTCAGCCTACCAAACTCATTCCATGTCAGTACGTGGACCAAGAAAGCCTTCTGTTCTCAGCCTTTTCTGCCACCTACCTCTCTCTATTGGCCATTGATTGGTAGGAAATATGATCCTTTCATAAACTTGCATGCTACAAAAACTAGTTGTTACAATTTCAATGAATTATAATAAATAACTTTTATTTGCTTAAGAAAATATGTTCTTTTTCTACACACGAAAGAGAAAAACAAAAGTTTCACGATTTTTAAGCTCATCATACTTTTAAAAAGAACTAGAATAAGTCCAACGAAATTGTATATAATTAAGTGACACCGACAATTCTCTAATATATATATATATATATATTGGGCATATTTTTGTCTATGTGCCATCGTCCACTTTAAATCCATGTTGCAATATACATCACTTATGCAACACACTATATTATATATTATAAATGTAAGTGTAATTAAAGATTTGTAAAGAATTTCACATCTAAGGTTCCGGTTATTTAGATGTAAATATATATATATATATATATATATATAATGGTGTTTGATTATTATAAAATATTTACAAAAAAAAATATATAAAAATAATTTATTCATTAATTTTCGATAACTTATTTTACATATCACATTTGATGAACTCGACCTCAATTTCAATCTAAATATTAGTCAAACACCGAAAGATAAAAATAAAATAAATATTTTACCTAAAAAATTCAAAAAAAGATTTAAAAATAATAATAATAATAATTACGATAAAATAAACCTAGTGTAGGTTGAGAATGAAACAACCACAACGTTATGTACCAAGATAAAACTCACTAGATGTAACACTTGCACAACACTTGCATGTCATATAATTAAATTATAATACTCCAATGTTGTTAAATCGAGAATGTAATACAAAGTAATAAATTTATATCGTTGTTGCTTTCAATAATAAAAAATACTTAATTAAATGAATTATAATAATTACATAATATCACTAATTTATTAAATATTGACAACAATTAAAAATTTTTTTTGGAGTAATAACGAGGGGCAACTCCTAATCATACGAGATACAACGCATTTGCTTTTGCACAAGACACTCACCGAGGGGAAAGTTGATTGGTAGTTAGGTGTACAAATCGAAAAACATGACAAACATTGAATTATTTAAATTTTCCAACATGGCACGTATAAATATATACATTATATAACAAATCAAATATACATACAGACTCTTTATAAAATAGTAGTAGACTGAAACACGAAACATTCATGCTCACAACCGCTCTCAAGAAAAGAGCGGAATAGCCAGCCAGTCAACAAACTGAGCTGAGGTGAGATAAGATTACACAAAAATGATGGGATATTATTACTAGTTGCCAAAACGCCGTCGTAGCAGCAGCGTCTTTTCGTCTCCGGTTCACTCCTGCGCCGACGACGCCGACAACCGGAAGCGATCCGGACTGGAGACGTGTCATTTGGCGGGAGAATGGAGACGCCGCTGCTTAACGGCTCCTCCGGTGACACCGACCTGATCGGCGACGACGGAGACTACCGGCCGGTGAAAGGCTACAGACAGATGAGGAGGGTGTTCTGGATTGAGACGGTGAAGCTGTGGAAGATCGCCGGTCCGATAGTGTTCAATATACTTTGTCAGTACGGAACTAACTCAGTGACTACCATATTTGTGGGCCATCTCGGAAATATTGAGCTGTCGTCCGTAGCTATTGCTCTCTCTGTCATCGGTACCTTCTCCTTCGGTTTTCTGGTTAGCAGCCCACCTCTCTCTCTCTCTACCTTCTCTCTCTGCACATTAATACATGCAAACTACTACTTGATGTGATTGATCTTCTTTGTAGTTTGGTTCTTTGTTGGTTTATGTGTTATTTTCTTGGAGTTAATCCCTCTCTCCAACTCTTTCTTAATGACCTGTGTATTTTTATTTCGCCTTTTTAGTTTTATGAGAACAGTTTTCATTTTTAGAAAGCTTAATATAAAAAATCCTACAAAATTATGCTGACAATTTTAGAAAAGTGAAAAACTCAATTAAAAATAGGGCTCTTTTCACATGAGTGCCTTTTATAGTTTGCTTTCTTAAATCTAAGTTCACACCCTTTTTAGAATATTGATTTAATTAATTTCTTATTTACTATTTGGTTGACGTCATATTTGTTGAAATATCTCCATCTTGCTTTTTATAGCAAAAATCAGAGAAGTCTCGTTCTCCAAATCAAGATGTGAAATTTGCAAATTGTTATGCAAAAGGTATCTGAAATACTTAATTTTTCTTTCAAATCTTTATGATGCTTGTTCATATATATATATATATATATATATATTGAACTTGCTTGGTTTGTCTCATAAAAATAATTTATAATAACTAAGAGAGAGAAAAGAAAAAAAAAAAAAAAAACAACCAATTTTCAAATAAGGACAATACTTGAATCCTCACCGGTTGGTACCTACATTACACTGTAAAAGACATTCTTTAAAAATATGTATTTTTTTTTTTTTTAGTGAATTTTTAAAAAATTGAATCAAGTGCGATATAATTCTGAACCGCGCGAGACACTCACAAATTGAAGAGTTGCGGTTCTCTAAAAGAGACACTTTTAAAGAGTCGCTTTTGGAGAACTCCGACTTTTCAATACTCTCAAAAAGAGTGTCTCTTTTGGAGAACCGTAACTCTTCAATTTGTGAGAGTCGTGGTTCCTCAAAAGATAGACTTTTTTTGAAACTGATGAGTATTTTGAATTATCTTATCTACTCATTCTCAAAAAAAGTGTCTCCTTAAAAAAGTCGCGACTCTTCAATTTGTGAGGGTCTCGGTTCCCCCAAAAGGGAGACTTTTTTTTTTTTGAAACAGAGGAGTACTAATTTATGAATAATTTATGAAGCATGCCAGTATTGCATTCAATATCATATAATTTGTGATGGAAATGAATTAACGAGGCTGATTTCCATTTTGCAATGTTGTTGTAGCTTGGCATGGGGAGTGCACTTGAGACACTATGTGGTCAAGCATTTGGCGCCGGACAAGTTTACTTGCTTGGCGTTTACATGCAACGCTCATGGATTATCCTCTGGGTCACCTGCATCATTCTCTTGCCCATCTACTTCTTCACTACCCCAATACTAAAGCTCCTCGGTCAAGAAGATGATATTGCCGATCTTGCCGGAACCTTCACCATCAAAATCATCCCCCAATTGTTCGCACTTGCTATCATTTTCCCCGCCCAAAAGTTCCTTCAGGCACAGAGCAAAGTTAGTGTGATTGCGTGGATCGGTTTTGTGGCACTGCTCATACATGTTGGATTCCTTTGGCTATTCATTTATGTAATAGGCTGGGGTACTAATGGTGCTGCTCTGGCATTCGACCTCTCGAGTTGGATAACTGCAATATCTCAAGTTATTTACGTTGTAGGTTGGTGCAATGAAGGGTGGAAAGGACTGTCATGGTTGGCATTCAAGGAGATATGGTCTTTTGTTCGGCTTTCCCTCGAATCGGCTATAATGCTGTGCCTAGAGGTGTGGTATATGATGAGTATAATTATCCTTACCGGCCATCTTGAGAATCCAGTGATTGCAGTTGGATCCCTTTCTATTTGGTAATATTATTAGCTTTCTTCTACGCATCATTTCTATACAATTCATTGTGTGTTACTATGCAGCAGTATTCACATGGTTTTAGAGCAGGCAAGGTCATGAATTCAAATTTCATCGTCATTGTAATAATTATAAACAGGAATAGGTTAACATTGCCTGAGAATTTTTTGGACCATGCTGTGATTTTTAACAGCATGAGTTGTGGATAATATATGCCCTGTCAATTTATTCATTAATTTGATCTGGAATGTTGTGTTCTTGTTTAATTTACTAGCTATTTTAATGTTTCCTGAGCTGTTTACATATTCTTTTGGTTTTATATTTCAGCATGAACCTTAATGGGTGGGAATTCATGGTGTTCCTTGGAATAAATGCTGCTATAAGGTAAATGGGACTCTGTGTACTCTTGTTTATGATTTTGTTTCCTTCTTCTTTTTGAATATAATTGAAGAATCTTGTCAAAATGGTGTGGTCACGGTTAGCTTTAAGCCAAACTATATCGGATTGATTTCCTTTTAACATTTCGGTTCTTTTCACTCCAGTGTTCGGGTTTCCAATGAGCTTGGATTGGGACATTCTAGAGCCGTCAAATACTCTGTCTATGTCACAATCGTCCAGTCTCTCCTCATTGGGCTAGTCTGCATGGTTGTTGTCATGGGCGCTAGAGACTATTTTGCCATCATTTTCACAAGCAGCAAGGTCCTGCAACAAGCAGTTGCTAAACTTGCATACCTTCTTGGCATCACTATGGTTGTCAACAGTGTCCAGCCAGTGATCTCAGGTATCCTGTTGATTTGCACTTCAAATTACATCTACCTTGTACAATGGATCCCGAGAGCCTCTTCTTAATTTCCTCCTTCCCCTCTCTTTAAATTTGTTTTTTGCATCGATTTTGCAGGCGTTGCTGTTGGAGGTGGATGGCAAGCTTTGGTGGCTTATATAAACTTGGGATGTTATTACGTTTTTGGGCTCCCTCTAGGATTCCTTCTCGGTTACAAAGCAGATATGGGAGTGATGGTAAATATCTATTTTCTAAGTTTGCATAACAAAATTTGATTTATGATTATAAACCTGTCTAATATACATTACAAATTTGGCTCTGTGTTGGTTCTCAGAAGCATTGACCACATTTCCTAATTTTTCAAAGTTACCTTGTTTGGCTTTAGTTTCAAATAGAGTCCTAGCATTCAAATGGTTTGTGGAGTTCAAACCTTCTAATAATTTACTTAGTTGGTGTGCTAGCGCTGTCATTATGTGGTATTGGTGAAGAAATTGAATCATTTACGGGTTAGAATTTGCATTATGTTATATACTCACTTAACTAGTTTTAGTCTCTCCGGTAGATTGGTTAGTGTAAAGATTAGAGTAGAAAGTAGAAGGCCATTTTTATGTCTTCCTGCTGTTTAGAGAAGATTATGGTGTTTGTTTATATTGAAAGACTTTCTTTATCGCCAGCATTTCCAATTTTCCGGATGCTACTTGCTTTTATATCATACGAATATTAGCTGATCTACTTCAAATCTCCATCAGACCTGTTATTTTTTCTTTTCGCGCTAGCTCTTGTTCTGATGGGCTCACATTTGTAGGGAATTTGGCTGGGCATGATATCGGGAACTGCTCTGCAGACAGTGTTCCTTCTGATTATAGTTTACAAAACCAACTGGAACAAGGAGGTATGTAATTTGTCATTAGCAAGTATGTCATTCTTTACGTGGCCTCAATGATATTTGATGTAATGATTGATTAGATGGTGTGATTGGGGTTTTAAATTGTGGTTTTCACATTTCACAATCCTGATTTCGTTGAAACCAGAATTTGGATGAAAAACCAAAATATTTGAAAATCTCCTAAAGCCTTAAAAAGCCTCCTACTGGATTCTCTCTGTACCAACAAACATAAGTTTGAAACTAATGCAATCCTTGGGACATATTTTTTGAACTGAAAAAAAAAATATTCTTGGTAAAACAAACTACATTTCCCTTTTGAAGTCTTGGTCGATAAATTGACAATGTTTGTTTGTGGATGCATTAAAACTTGATAATGACTTTTGCTTTGTGAAAAAGTACAAAAAGTGGTTGTAAATATATTGAGAAATCGGATTGCAGGTGGAGCAGACGACAGATAGGATGAGAAAATGGGGAGGGCAAGACATTGAAACCGAGAAGATAGCCGATAATATATGAAAGGAGGGAGAGTGGAAGACAATGCAACTAAGAAGTGTAGCTGATAAAGAGGAAATCAGCTTTTGATGGCAAATCCTTACAATTTTCATTGTCTTTCTGGTTTTTGTTTCCTCGTGTAATGCTTTTGTATGCCATTGTACTTTTTGCATTTTCAACTAGTTGGCAATTTTGAGCTAACCTTCCTTAGAAACCTCTGGTTCTTCTTTGATTCTCTTGCAACTATAAATAATGGGTGAGGCTTGATTTATAATATAAATTAATAGATTATTAGTTTTTCTCATATTTTCTCTCCCAATAATATATGACTTTTTGAGATTATATTTGGCGTGATGTATTAATATAACATTCAATGTGAGGTAGAGATTGCCCCCAACCCACCCCTCCAAGCGAACCAAAATGCTCTCCGGTACACTTCTTGCGGAATATTGCAGTGCAAATTGAATGATACATCACCCACTTATAAAAATAAATACATGCTATAATTTGAACTTTAGTATTATAATTGTCGCGACCTTGTGGGCGGGTGCAAAGTATTGACAGGCTATCACACTGGACGAGTTACAGGTGCATATTCCCACATCGCCTGGGTATGGGAAAGGTGGTGGAGTGGGTCGTTACAAATATTGTCTCACCTAGCTAGAAGTGTGGTTAACGAGGACGATGGGCCCAAAAGGGATGATTGTGGCAACCTTATGGACGGATACAAGTTATTGGCAAGTTACCACATTGGGTGAGTTATGAGTGCACAATCCGGCATCGCTTATATGCGGTGATGTCATCTCTAATTGGTATACTTTTTGGGATAAAGTCCAAAAGCAAAACTTTGTGGGCTTAGATCCAAAACGACCAATAACATACTATATGATAGAGTGAGTTTTTACAATAGTAGTGGTCCACCACTATACTCCTAAAATTTCAAAGTAAATGTATGAAATTTTGCATCACAGAGAATCAGAGAAAAAGTTTATACAAGTAATTGGCTTTGCCACCAGAAATAAGATTATTATTATTATTATTTTGATATACTGAAATTGTGCATAAACCTGCCGTTTTAGGTGGAGACCTTGTATCATTTATACAGATTCTGAGGTTTGGTCCCATTAAAGTACTTCACTAACAACTATAAACTTGTAACAACTGTCAGGATGGCCGAGTGGTCTAAGGCGCCAGACTCAAGTTCTGGTCTTCAAGAGAGGGCGTGGGTTCAAATCCCACGTCTGACATTTTAAACTTACATATAGAAACAAAAACTATGGACCTTTTTTCAGTAAAGCCAAATCTATGTTTTTCAGAGGAGATTGCTTCTCTTTTCTCTTGTGTTCTGGTTTGCTTGTTGATAAAAGTTTGCTTAGGAAGTTTTTTTTTAAAAAAAAGAAATAAACACCCAGTCTGGCTGTTGAAGCTTATAGACCACAAGGTTTTGGCTCAAATAATTCCCATTTATAAACAAATGAATTTTTTTGTGAGGAGTTTAACTAGCAGCCGCCAATGTGGGCAAACCAGATGCATTTGTCATTAAAGACGCCACTTGTCATTAAGGCTGCCTAAAATATTTTTCTTGGAAAATATATATATATATTTTTTATGTTAGAAATTTGTCTTAAATTCATTTATGACATGACAAAAAAATTTTGGCTAAAAAAGTATGATGGTGAAGCTCCCAAATTAGCTTCGGAAGGAAGCTTTGAAATTCTTGGGCAGCAAGAATTATTCTTGGGCAACAAATGTTATTTGGCTTCCAAAGTAAGCTTTGTAATATACTTGGACACCAAGTATATTTTTGGCTATAAGTAGTCTTGCACTCATTCGATGAAAAGCATCCGAGAGGCATCTAAGAGTAAGATACTATTCGGATCAAGAGAGTATATTGGTTTTGTGTGTGTGAGAAAATCCTTTTGTGTGTACAATCTTCAAGAGAGAGTTGAAGTTTGTATTTGGGTGGGTTTTTTCTCTTTGTATAAACCATATACTATTTGGGGTATTTCTTGTGTTTTGAGTGAGTCTTCTTTGTTGGTAAGTGAGTGAGTGGTGTGAGAAAAGAGATTATTGTGAGGAAGAACCAAAACGTTCTTCAATTTGTAATCTTCTTCTTTATAGTGATACGAATCATCATCGCCCGTGGACGTAACCCTATTTGTGAGGGTGAATCACGTATAAATCATTGTCTCGTTTGTGTGTGCCTATTTATTTTCTTGACATTATTTTTCTCTTATTTTTATAAACTCCTATTCGATCATTATTTCATAACAAATTGGTATCAGAGCTTGTGGGGGAGTTTTTTGAGATGTCGACAAAATTAGAGATTGAGAAATTTGAGAGCAAGATTAGTTTCAGTCTTTGGCGCATTAAGATGTAAGCCCTGCTCACTTAACAAGGTTTTGGTAAAGGAAAAGTTAAAAAGGGGAGTTACGATCCTAATTCTCACAAGGGTTGTGAGGGGACTACACAACATGGTGGGAGAATGAAATCCGTTTTCAGATGGCAACCGAAATTGCAGCAGTCCTTACAGGGAGACAGACCCATTAGGACAGGTGTAATTTTGACTTACAATAATCTTGGTGGCAATGAGATAGTCCATTTGAGTGCCATTAAGATGTATAGGAGGCAAGTAGTTGGTCACAATAGAAATACAAAGAAAAGTCAAGGACGTCCTATTTTCCACAAGAGTGAGAATATGACTTTTCATTACCAACCGGTGGTTAGTGGGCGGTTGGAGAAGGTTGCTGAAGGAGATGTCAAACTTGAAATTTCTGAGGGTGTCTTTGATAAGTGTTTAGAGTTTAACAGAAATACTGAAGGTATGCTTGTGGCTGCACAAGGTATGCATGGGTTGAAGAATGTGAGCCTGGTGGTTAAGTTTGAGGATGACTCAAACTTAACTAAAATTCTTTATTAATTTGTTTTGTGTAGAAGATGATGATGGCGTTATTTTTATTACTCACATTGTGTTGAAGAAAGACTCTTTATGATGTTATCTTATCATTTCTGCTAACGCGAAGAAATTTTTGCTAAGGATGGAGTTTTGTGGCTCATTCGAAATTTTTGCCAAGATGAAGAATTTTAGTCAAGGTGGAGATTCTGTCAGAGAATCTCCACCTTGACTAAAAATAAATGACAAGAAAATAAAAATAGTGCACACACAAATGAGATAAGGATTTGCGTGATTCGGCTGTGCCTACATCCACGGAGAAAAAACAGAGCAATATTTCACTATAGAAATATAGAGATACAAGGCTAAGTGTCTCACACTAAAAACAAAACCCAATTACATCCAAAATTCTCTCACACTTTGTTTTTCTTTACTAAGCAAACTCACTCAATTGTTGAATGCTTTGAACCATGGAGATCAAGGCTATTTATAGCCAAAATATCATCACTATTCATAGACTTGGAGACCAAGCATGGGGATGCTTGCTGGGCACACATTCTTTGAGGCCAAGAATAAACCTTGTTGAACACATATACTTAGAGGCCAAGAAGATGATGTCATGGATGATGATTGAGCCAAAAAATCAACATTTTAGGCAAAAAAATTTATTTTATTTTTATTTTTATTTTTTGGTGTTTGGCAAGGATTTAGGTCAATGTTGAGTCCTTTGGGTGGAACATATAAAATAACTTGTCGAAAATTAATGAATAAAATATTTATTTTAGATTTTAATATATTTTTTTTTTGTAAATATTTTATGAGAAACGAATACCAAAAAATATTTTTTAAAAAAATATTTTATGCATAACCAATTTTTGACAGTTTAAATATCCATTAATCCTTTATTCATTCAGATAGAGAATCAATACCGTGAAATAGACTTTTAATAGTACCAGTGAAATAGCAAAGTTGTACCCGTGAAATGGTAGAAGCGCAGGTCACTCGGGTAATGCTTTGTGCTTTTGTTTTGACCCAATATAGAAGTAATGTTTTTGCTTTAGAGTGTGTTCAACATTATTTAGAAGCTTGTTTGATACAATCTTCAATTTGAAATCGATTCACAACAATTCTTTGATTTTTCATATAAAAAAATAAAGATTCATGTCTTTGATATAATATTTCAGTGAATTTTTTTGCAAACAAAAGCATCATTTTGGGGTTTCCGATTTTGGCCTCAATTTTGAAAGTGCGCGTGCATTTGTTTCGCTACAATTAACTAGCAAAAGCAAAAAAATATTAACCAAACAGGCCCGTAATAATTGAGAAATGCTAATAAGGCCCGGGAGAAAAACAATATTAACATTGAGGATCACACAATAAATTTTTTTAATTTTATTTTTTGCCTAAATCAAGATTGAATTCGAATCCATTGTATAAAATAATTTATAAAAAATTGTGATGAGTAGATTATTTAAGTTAAAATTTAATATTTTTACAATTAAAAACACCAAAAATAAAAATAAAAATAAAAATAAAAATATTTTACCACCAAACAATGGTATCCTGAACAGGTGTAAAATCAAGTTAACACAAACATGTACTTCACAAACTCGTTCAAGTGGCCGACAATAAAACTAATTAATTAAAAATCAAGTTTGACAATACAAATTTCTAAATATTCCAGTCGAGCAAAATAAAAAAGACAAAAAGTAATGTTGACTGATTATTTCCCAAGGATTTATGGCCTCCTTCCTTCCCATGAGCTTCCTCGAGGCAAGTAAAAGTTATTGGCTAAGCAGCAGCTTTTTGTTTCTTCGGCACGCGATATGCACCCACAACACAAGCATGGTCACGTTCAAAAGGTTCCAGAGTGACCTGCTCACTGGGCTTGAACTGGTCTGCCTGCAGCTTCTTAACTTCCTGGGCAAATACTGCCTCTGCGGGAACAGTTGAATCTATGCAGTTTGCCTGAAAAGTAGAACATTATACATTAGCTTCGACAAATTCATTGGGTGTGGCAACAAGGAAAACACAAAAACACCTTTCATAAAGCTGAGGACTACATTACAAATTCATACACTACATAGTTCCACTAGTAGTTTCCACTAATCACAGAAACTAGCTCTTTTTCATTTTAATTATCTACCAATTCATTTGTGATTATTACCAACACCCCTTCAAATTCTTAGTTCATTCGGTCATGTCTACATATAGCAACTACAAATCCACCACACATACCTTGATTGATATAACAAAATGGCCACCAGCTTTCAGGAAATATGAAGCATTCAATGCTAAAATCCTAGCCTGAGAAGTGAGAAGTGCAATCAAATTTCAGAAATTACATCAAACAAAAATGGCTAGTACAAGAAAAGATGCACCATTACATAAATACCGTATTCAATAACAGCAATAATCCACCTCTGGAGAACAGATTCTCAACCAGGAATCACTACATCTACGTAGAAAGGCATATTGCTAACATGAAAAACTTTGAAGAAAATAGCAGCAAAAACTGAGTTGATGGCATATGAACTAAGTTTTTTCTTCATATCAGTAATTAATTTATAATTTCTATGCTAAAGTTAAATAAGTTCGAAGCTGAAGCTATTCAAATATAAAAAAGAATATATTAGATTATATATGATATTACTACTCTATCTCGTCAAAGCAGCAAGTTGAATCAACTGCGTATTAGATTAATGATCAATTGTAACAGAAAGTAAAACATAGGTGTCTAATACTAAAAATAGCTGACCAATGTTTTGCTTTCTGTTACAATAATAGTCCATACCCAAAAACCCATTTCAGAACAACTAACAGTTGGCAATAAACAATACTAGTACGTAAAGTTTGCATTGAAATTTGATCTAAGCCAGCCATGCAATGAATAACCTAACAGTTGGGTGATGCATGACTAATTTAGAACGTAGTTGATTCAAGACATCATGAATTTTTAAAATATCTAGCTTTTATACCAAGAATCAAATGAAGGATTTTGTAAATGGAAGTCAATGAGAAAAATTAATGTTTTTATAAAACTAGAAATCAATAAATTTTCAGGTTCTCCATGATCGTTGGGTACAAGAGGTTAAAACACAAAAATTGTGGACAAAATATGGCAAAGAGCTGGGAAGTAACGAAAAACTACTGAGGAAAATGAATCCAAATCCATTCAGCATCTAGCTAAAAAACCTTCATGAGGATCTAATAATAGAACCTTAGATGATTTAGAAAATTATAAAGATATGCAAAATGACAGGTAATGAACCAGTTAAAAAGTAACTAAAAAGCAAAGAGAGAATGATTTTTAAGGTTTTATTACAAGTTGGCAACCTTATTTTTGGTTTGTGATTGAAGTGCATGGTGTACAGTCTTTTTGACATCAATCCTCAAGGCCTAACCTTGAAATTTTTTATAGATGTTAGGGCGAGTTATAGACACAAGGTAAAATAATAAATGATGTCTGGAACTGGACTGATTATGTGGAGAGGAGCCTTGACAAATTGTATATCAAAAGCACAAAGTCCTGCATTGAAATTTGATCTAAACCAGCCATGCAACGAATAACCTAACAGTTGGCAATCATTTTACTGAAGGATGCGATAGCACTGTCACATGCTAAAAAAACTAGAGTATACATGATCAGTACAAGCATTAAAGTGAACTCAACCATGCATAATCAAGAACTACACATTAAGCTAAAACACAGATGAGCACACAATTATAGTAACCAAGCCCAAGCTCAATACAGTCAACAAGTCCACACCCACAAAAATAATAGAATAAAATAAAATAAACAGCCTAAATCGTTGGGAATAAATGCACAATCAACCAAGGAGTATAAATTTTTGAAGAATCACAAAAATTTCCTCCACAAATGCAATCCCAACTTTTTCAGTACATTATAAAAATTTGATTTAAAAAAAAAATGGGAAATCAAATTTGAAACACAGCAATTAAACACAGGCAACCCTGTGAAACATTTTGCGAATTTTATGGCATGCTCAAGGCTAATCACTAAACAAACGAAATATATATAAATAAATAAATAAAAAATAAAAAGCATGGTAATAAAATTGGGTTCCTCTATGCCATTTCCAGCTTTGACAAATTCATCATAAGAATGAGAAAGAAAAGAGAAGTGTGTGTGTGTGGGTTGGGGGGGTGTGGGGGGGTGTTTACAAAAACTAAGCAATATACATGTCAAATAAATACAAAGAAGCAGCTATAAACAATTTGGAATTGCATCAGAAAACTCGGGTTTGCATCACCCATGATGTCTTGAAGGGGAATCCGAGTAAATCATCATATGCTTGTTTATAAGGCCAAGTCCATGCTAAATTTGTAAAAGCAAAGGAAGAGAGAGAAATAAAATAAAATTGTAAAAGCAAAGGAAGAGAGAAATAAAATTTACTAAACTTCAAAACTTGTAGTCCAAAAGAAAGGAAGTAACATCACACAGGGAACTGCAAACACTGGGTGAGATGTGTCAAATAAATACAGAGAAGTAACTAATGACAATGTGGAATTGCATCAGAAACTCGGGTTTGCATCACCCATGATGTCCTGAAGGGGAATCCGAGTAACTCATCATGTGCTTTGCTTATAAACTCAGTCAAGCTAAATTGGTAAAAGCAAAGAAATAGAGAAAATTGGAACTCTCATACTTCACAACTTTTGGTTCAAGGGCAAGGAAGTATCATCAAGATCCCCAAAAAGAAGAAGAAAAAAACACAAAACACCCAGAAGAAACAATGAAAATTGGATCTCTCAAACTGCAAAACTTTTAGTTTGAAGCAAATGCATAACAACTACATCCCAGACTTATATGATCATCATCAAATTGCTACACAAGAAGCAAATTGAGCAAAACGACCATACCTATAAACCTTAATCACCAAGACAATTCATCCAAAATTAAAGTAGCATCACTCCAGAGCATGGAAGGGCCTCTACTTGGCTAATTTAGTACTATCTTCCAAATAGCTTAAATATCTTTAGGACAAGCGAAGATTCAAAAACATTTTGCAATAACCACATAAGAGAACACTCCTAGCACACACGAATATTGAATCCAATTATAATTGAAAGGAAAAGACCAAACAAATTAAGAAAAAAAAGTGAAAAAAAAATGAATCAAATAAAGCACTCTAACAAGTTTAACCAATCTTCATACCCATCCCATTTTACTTTGTAAATCCTCAGGAGGAAACAATTCAATGCAAAAAATGAAATAAAGAAAACCTGATCAGGCTGAGCAACATCAGAAAAAATCACATCCACCATGCCCACCAACATTCTGTACTTGGCTGGATGTCTAGCATCTTCAATGATAGGTATGACATTTGTTCTCTTCTTTGCCATGTTGACCAAGTCCCTACCACTTCTATGAGAAAATTCCACTGCATAGACCACGCCAGTCTGCCATTAAAAAAAAAAAAATGATGTTACATGAGTCTCACTTCAATTTGAATGGCAAAACCCATAATTTTAGGAGAACAATTACTTACAGGGCCAACTAAGTCAGACACATGAGAGACAGTGGTTCCTGAAGCAGCTCCAAGGTAGAGAACGCGAACCCCAGGTTTCTTGATTAAATATAAGTTAACAAAAAACAAGAAAGCAGCTCTCATAAAATACATGTCATGAGGAAAAACAAGGAAGAAACATCTTTAATAATGCATATATTCGGTTAAAACCCTAATGGGGTCAATAAAGTTTGCAAAGCACACACTTACAATCCAGATTTCATCAACGCCACCAATAATGGCAGCAGCCAACTTTGAACGGAAGGGGTTCCATACCCTGTACTCAACCTTGGTTCCATCTTCTATCTGAGGGGAAAAGAAAATTTCAATATATTCATAAACATGCATGGATAAGTAAAATACACTATAATCCAATATCAACTAGAAAAGAAATAAGGGGCAAAAATGAACTCTGCGACCTACTATCAAATTGTGGATGACAGAGAAAGCAGTTCCCTTTAGCATCATTAAGAAGCAAGAACAACTTCAGAAAAAATTAGGGGCAGAAGTGTAAAACGGGTTCGCATAAAGAGTGGTTTGCTACTTGCAACCGGTATTTACGGGGAATAATGAGTTCTTATGATGTTATGGGAATTGGAAAAATCAAAATCAAAGACAACTGGTAAGAACCCTAACGTTTGTACGTCATATTCCAACCAAGCACAAAGGACACAAAAATGAAATGCAAAATGTTGAAAAAAGATATTATGAACCCCAGACATTAATGCACAGAATATGCAGAAATTTCTTATAACTCACAATATATCAAACCCTTAATAACATAAACTTCACTACTGTTTAAATTATCAGAGTAAATTTGATGCTTTCTATGACAAACAAAACAAGTTCCAAACTGGTAACCAACTTATGCCTTCATATACAGGAGCTCAACAGCGGTTTCCTCATTAACCAATTAAGCTAAATACCAACAAATAAGCTCTATATAGAAACTAAATTCAACAATGAATTTATCCATTGATTACAAAGAGTTCGTTTAGCTTAATACTACAATAATAGCATAGCTTCAACAACAATACTACAATAATAACATGGATTCATCAATGACACAGCAATAAAAATATAGTTTCATCAGAAAGACTGAAGATTAAAAAAGTCCTAAAAGTGAATACAAACTTAATAAGTTTCAGTGATAGGACCTGATGCTCTAATAATTCTTAAAGTACAATTTCCTTGTAATTTTTCCAAGTTAAAACATACAATAGCTGTGGATCTATCATACACACACACACATATATATATCTTAAAAGACTAAGGTTTTGGAATATGCTAATATCAGCCGAGGTCACTCGTCCCCAGGACAATAAAATGCAGATCAGAAGGGAAAGTGCCTCATCTGAATAAGAACACCCTCTAAACAACTTTTAACCACCAGATTAAAACCAAAAATAATAATAAGAATAATTTACATGAAAGTTATTATCAAAGAGGCAAACAACCTGAACAGAGACCCTCTTCTCATTGTACACAGCTTCGCCAGGGACCAAATTCTTGGTGCAAAGAACATCTTCTTTGCCCTTCGCAACAAACACACCCTCGTGTCTATGAGGCTCAACCAGTACTTTACTCCCTCCCTTCATTCCACCACCACGTCCACCGCGGCCGCCTCCGCCTCTGCCCCTTCCTCTCCCTCCATCACCTCTACCGCCCCCACGGGCTTTAAAGCCGCCGCCACCTCTGGGGCCTCCGGGGCTTCTTCCTCCTCCGAAGCCCCTTCCTCCTCTCCCTCCATCACCACGGCCGCCTCTGAACCCTCCACCACCACGACCTACAAATCAATCAACCAAATACAAAGAAGTAAAATTTAGCTTTGTTCGAAGCCCTTAATGATGTTTGTTTCAGCAGAAAAAATAAAGTTCTCCGGAGCAAAAACCGATTTTTAAATCGGATATACGAAGATAGTAAAACGCGAGAGAGATACTGTGAAAGGCTTTGTGATAGAGAGAGAAAGTACCTCCTCCTCTTGAAGGGAATGCCATCTCTGCACAGCTTTTGTGAAGTAACGATAGTGAACAGAGAAGAGAGGCTAAGAAGGCTTTGCGATGGAATGAGTTATGAGCTGCGAAGAGGGGGTTTTTATTGAGGATCTATGGTTTATTTTTAGGGTTTAGGGTTTGTTGTGATTGAGTCGCTGCGTTTTTACCGATATGTCCATCAAATAATTAAGGTATAATTGTGCTAAACTCCCTCGACTTTCAACTTTTTGCACTATATCTGAAACTCTTTATGAATTTTTTTATTAAAGCCCTCAACTAACTAAATTGTATTTTTTTAAAATTGTTGAAAAATTATTACATGGTTTGTTACACCATACAAGCATTACGTGGTTTGTAACACCACGAATGTATCAAAATGTATTCAGGTGTTTGTTTTTTTTCCTTACAGTTCCATTTGCTGTGTCATATTTATAGACAATAAATTTTGTTTTTGTTTTTTTTTTTTTGGGAGGCCATTCAAGTTCTTCATTCTTTTGTTGATCATATAGCATAGTTATACAAAACAATAGTTTCGGTCCAGAGAATAAGATTTTTAAAATGAATTTTAGGCGATCAATTTAGAGATTTGTTTTGCTCGACGGACAAGTTTTGATTGATTATATATGCAAAATATTAGAAAGTGAACCTTCGATTTTTTATATTTCTTATATAAAATCAAGTCCAAATGAAAAATTATTACGTTCTGGCCAATCACAACTCGATAGGTGCCGCAAACAAAAATTTAAATAAAACTGACACATTTACTTATATATCCAGTCTCGGACCATGTAAAAATTTCTCTAGACCAAATCCCCCACTTCATTAAAAAATCAGACAGCACATAGTTCCACTTAATTTGTAGTAATTTAGTTCATTTGTAATTTAGTTCATTTGTGATTATTAGCAGCGCTCCATCAAATTATTAGTTCACTCAGTCATTTATACATAAATATATAGCCATTGTTAAGCATAAACTACCATACATACCTTAATTGATATAACAAAAATAAATAAATTACAATAAAAGAAAGAAGACTCGTTGGTCAAGTAGATTTTCCTTTATTATTTGAAAAGCTAGTTTTTGGTAAATTTAAGTAATTACCAGTTACCAAAATTCAATATCAATGTACTTCTCTCTCTCTCTCTCTCCATTTTGTTTTTGGAATTTGTAACAGATTTTTTTTTTTTTTTTAAAAAAAAACTGAATTTGAGTTCAAAAGCCTGATAATATGGAACTTCGTCCATATTAAACAAGCAATGCAATTCATGGATAAGTTAATGGCAATTTAAGAGTTGGGACTGCCAGAAAAGAAAGGATGTAAGATTGAAACTGTTTTAAATCATGTAAAACTAGTATCATCAGCAAGCAGTTGAAAGAAAATAGCAGTGAGCATTTTGGTATCAGTCCCACCACAATACAAATCTTCACCCAACACACGCACACACACACGCACACCAAAAAAGGCCAAGTTACCGTAAAGGCCCCTACAATCATCACTTGCATTAATGCATTAAAACACAGCTGATAGACGTTTGCTCCGATGAAAAAGAAAAAGGAAAGAAAATTGATTTCGGGTTAACAAAAAATCTTCATGGCTATGCGGCTGCTACTGGTGTGAACGCTGGCTTACAAGCTACATTACAGGAAAGATGCCAGGCCAGCTGAATTTGCATATCAACTTATTTGGAAAGAGAATAATACATAACAATGTCCCTTACAAAAACTTGTGACAATGTAGGAGCCAGCTAGCAATCGTTAATCAACGCTTAACCCACTGGAAACTCTTTCTTGCCTTTGCTTTGCCAGGTTTTTTCCTTTCCACAACTCGTGCATCCCTCGTCAAGAAGCCAACTGGTAGACACACATATTTGGTGAGAAGATCAAGAGATGAGGTATATGACAATTATGTATGATAACAGGCACCGTAGAGAAAGCCAATTCATTAATTCTGGACAACTCAGGTTGAGGAAGAATCAAGGCAAGACATCTCTATACCAATGATACAAAGAGAGTTTTTGCAGGACCAAAAGAATCCAAAGATAATTTTTGCATTACATGCTACCTTCTCTTGAGAAGTGATAGGAAAATATGTGGGTTTTTTTCCCGGGAAGAGGTGCAGATAGTAAGTACTACTATTCAAAGTAAAAATACAAAAATCAACATAAAAAGAAACTTCATGGTAAATACCTGCTTTGAGAGGAGGGCGTAGACCAGGTTCAAAGTTTTGTAAGGCCCTGCTGATTCCCAAACGAATTGCACCAACTTGACCTGTTGTATGCAGATTCAGTTTTAGAAATTCAGGAATACTACCCAAAACAAAAATAGAAGGCAAAAGTTTGAAGTACAATTAACAAAATAGATAAAGCAGGTTTGCTTGCCAACCAGTAATATAGTATTCACATTATAGCTATTTTAATAGTGAAAAATTACATCTTAGAAGCTTAGCTTAAACCACCAACTTCAGCCCACAAGCGCAGCTAACATCACCTTACTTTTGAAATTCATCAAATTGGAAAATCGAACCTCAATGCATAAATTAATGGTTCTCTTGAGATAACGAAGAAGCAAAAACTGAGTGAGTTATTGCATTGGAACAGCTACAAAAGTACTTGAACCTCAATTCATCAAATACTCGAACAAAAGTACTCGTGTATTGCATTGGAGCAGATACAGAGAGAATTTAGTTTGTGGATCAAAGGAGACCATCAGAATCAACTAAAAACTTCAGGAAAGAAAGAATCACAACAGACACATAATTGACCTCAGTCAAGTTCCACATGCAAATATTGGAAAGAACCAACTATTGCACATTCATAAATTCATATTCTATGAAGAATGGCTCAAAATCCTATAACAGTAATGTCAAGAAAACATTAGTATGTGAAATTCGAGAATCAACATATAGTGATAAGTGACTGTAAATGCTCTGGAATTATCCTCCCATTTCTAGCTTGAACCACGTGTCTTTAAGTTCTATCACCAGACAGCATGCAAGCACATAATAATACCATAGACCCCTGCATATGAACTGTGTAAATTGTTTTTGATAAGTAAGATTCATTGAGCATATGAAGTTATGAACCATCTAAATGCCTGATCCAACTTGCAAAAATGAGGTTCCCAACTCTTTGGTGCACATTAAAAGCAATACAAACATTTATAATCCAAAGGCTGATTTATAATCATGAGTACCAGAATTTGAAAGGAAACAAGTGTAGTGCTGGTCACTTTATAAAGACTTGGTTCTCTTATGCTTTTCTGAACTCCTAACGTACGACAATTAGTCTGCACAAAATCAGTCCATTATCCGTGTAGTTTATGGCCTTCTCTAACGAAATGGAATCTAAGTGAACAAGCTGCCCTATGTCAACAGTTATTTAGACCTAAGAAGCCTTCACATATTCTCTTCACCATGTCTCCTATAGGCAAAAGCTTTGTTTGACTGAACTGGGAAAAAAAAATAATCATTTCAAGAGGCAAGGAAAGAAGAGAAGGTTGCCAAAGGTATTACATATTAATTCAAACACAAGTTGATTTTCACAAGTCCAGCACAGACTATAGAGCAATACAAGGAAACCATCAACAATGTTGAGATAGATGACTAAATAAAGCAGATGAAATAGAAATAAAGAAACTCAAGAGATTGAAGGCGGAACTTATTAAGATGGTTATAAAAAGACATAAGAATTTGGAAATCTCTACTTCTAGTGCATACAAGTTTTCAGAAAATAAGCAAAACAGAGAAACTAAACTGTTAGGGTGGTTGGCACGGCAGAAAAGCTCAAAAGTTATAACGCAGGTTCAAGTAATGAGGAAGTCACTTTCTGCAAAGCGTATCTGATGGAAAACAAGATATAAATGACACATGTGATCAATATGTGTGCCAGGCATATCTCGTTTTCCATCAATTACAAAATATTAACCCTAATTATCTATTTTTGCCCCTCCTCCAAAAGTAGATGCAAAACACATGTAGCTCACATGTGCCAGTCATATCTCATTTTCCATCAGTGTCAAAGGTTAGGTATGGCTTTTAGGATAAGGGCTTGTTAAATAAAATCCATATTTTTTAAAATTTAGAACAATTCCACTACAATCTATAATAGGATAACAATAAAGTGCGACAACAAAAAGGTTAAGAGCAAAAATTGTACCATAGAAGTGTTACAGAAATTGGTTATAAAGGTTCAGTATGCAAGAAAGAGACTGAAAATTGTACTTGAGCACGAAAAGAAAATGAATGAGAGAAAGTGAGAGAGAGTGGCCAGTGACAATAAATAAAGTTAGCCCAAAGAAGTTCAGATATCTATAGCTTTCAATGGCTTAAAGTTTAAAAACAAGAACGATGTTCTCAGCATTAATTCCTTGAGAAACAACACCAGATATTATTTGGTTTCGAAAGTATGACCAAGGAGAAACTTAAATATTCAAAGTATTACTTATCAAATATATATATATATATATACACACACACACAAAGTATAAAAAAATAACAAGAGTGAATAAACTTTTAAAGGATTTAAGGACAACTAATACTAAAATATAAAGAGGACAGAAGCTAAATTATGTTTAAAAAGAATAAAAATAAGTTTAACATTAACTGTCATTAACTGTCATGGAAGTCCATAGAGTTATCCTCACCTGAAAAACCACCTCCTTTCACGGTACACTTGACATCCCAATGTCCCAGAGTCTTCGTCTCTGAGAAAGGGCGAAGGAGAGCAGCACGATGATCAAGCATCGGAAAATAGATATCAAACTGTTTGTCATTAACTATAAATTCGCCTTCGCCAGGTTGAATCCAGACACGGGCTATACTGCATTTCCTCTTTCCTGTCCCATATGCCCTTCCCTTTGCATCTACTTTTACCACTCGTGCTTTGGCAACTTCTTCCTGTTTCTGGCGCTCTATTTCACCTTTCGTTGATTTTCTGGTATTTTTCTCATACCGCAGGTCTTCTATTTCACTAAGAGGAGGCAATCCTTGGATATCTTCCACGTCCTTCATAATCATCAAACCGTCCAGCATCTCTTCCGTGATTCCAGAAGCTGCAATGAGGTCACCAAATGCACGATCTGGACCTGCAATCAGAAATATTGGATCAATACTATCTTCAGTTAGAAGCTATTGATTCTATTCAGATGACATGATGAAGCAAAGTTATATTCCAGCCCAACTGCCATAGATTCAGTTAAAATACAGCAAATACAAACTTCAAAAACAAAAAAGGTACTCTATGGACCTGTGAATTCAGTAACAGGTTGCATGGCCAAAATAGGCAGGGTAAAAAACACAAGGAAGCTTGTGATTTGTAATACTTAAGAAACGCCATACTAAGAAGAATTACTGCATCTGAACTTTTGAGGATGTTTATTATTAGATAGGTTCAGAGTGGATCAGTTTGAAATACTCATGACAAGTAGAAGCTGAAATATGACACATGGTTCATCTAATAAACTTATGTGAACTTTGTCAAAAAGGGTTCCGGTCAAGTCCTAACATTTAACAACTCAGCAGTACTCTTCATAGCTTTGTTTCCAAGGAACATGCTTCCCGAGTGATACCTTCAACTTTAAAGGATGAAACTCCTAAATAGTTGCATGTTATTGCATATTCTGATAAGCTAGTATAAAGCACATTTTGAAGGAAAACTTCAGCACTCATTTTAAAGAGTGCCTTGATCTCATAAGATTGTGTTATAGTGTCCATGAATCAGATTACAAACACCAGTAGAAAGAATCACGGACTTCACATTTAAAAGAAAAGTCTGCAAGTTATGCGAACCTGACCATGTAAGTCCTGAATTCTAACACAATTACAGATTAATGTGCCCATAGGAAGACAAATTATCCTGATGAGCAAGCTCAAACTGAACCTACAATCTGAAAGGACTACTTGAGTCGAGTTTACAACCCTATATGACTGGAAGCAGGGAAACACAAGATCAATGTGATATGTATATTCACTTCTGTAACTGGCAACCCTACCTGCCAAAATATAGAACTGCCAACCAGTAAAGTATTTGTCAAATACTTCCCATCATTGGTGACAAATTGACAATCATAAAGCGCTTATGCACCAGTAGCTATTTCGTTTCAGCTACAAATATCGTTATTGGAGAGTGGATGGGAAATAGTCCTAAAAATCAGACAGAAATACACAACGTAAGTGGAGAACCCACTGTTACTGAAAATGGCAAAAACCCATTAAATAGAGAAATGCCGCCTTTTCTATCATTAAATATCTTAGGATAAAATTCCTAGAAAATAAGCCTACTTGTATGTTTCATTCAGTGCTTAATGCTTATATAGCCTATACTAGAACAAAATCTTGATCATGAAAATCGCCCCTCATCAGAAATAACACAGCACTACATTCATTGACTTCATTTCGAACACCTAATCATGAATTTTTCAGTTCATGTTAATCATTGAACCTAATCAAGTCACAACTAAGCACAATAACCAACAATGAAATAAATTAGAACTCTTAAAATGAACTGTTGACTGATAGCATTGACTGGTTTGCTTCTAGTTACCCAATTAGATGCATTTATGTCTCTACATTGATAATTAAGAATTTATAGGAACAATAAGAAGTACTAAGGCTTACCTTTTAGTACAGCAGACAACGCTTTCTCTTCCCTCTCAAGCTCCTTATCATCTTCACTCTTCTGATTCTCCACCCTCTCATCTTCAATCTTCTGATTATCCACCCTCTCGTCTTCACTCTTCTGAGTCTCCAGCCTCTCATCTTCACCAACAACACCACTCACTTCCGATTCTGTGTCTCCGACATTGAACACGTTTTTCTCCTTCTCTTTATCCCCAAAACTCCATGGCCTATTCCCTTCAGCTGTTGCCCAATCATCGACAGTCTTTTCTCCTCCAATCTCCTTATCAACCCCCTTAAATATATCAGCGCCATTTCCTCCCTCGTCCCTCGAATCCTTCAACCACGATTCATCGTTCGGCCTAGTCATCTCGCCGGCGGCGAATCCTTCGAGATTTCCGGTGTCGTCTCCGAACACAGAATCGATGGAATCGTCATTTTCCGTCGAAAGATTCCACAAGTCCGACGTCGATGTCGGTTGATCTCCGCTGTTGTCTCCACTATTGTTGTTGCGATTGCTTGAGAAACGTCGAGAGGTTTCGAAGAAGAAGTTGAAATTGGGGTTTCGAAGTGGAGGGTGTAGAGTGTGGAGAGAATGAGATTTAGGGATTGATGAGTGGTATGGTGATGCGATTAGGGTTAAGAGACGGAGCTGAGAGTGTCTGGAAACAAAACGAGAGAGCATTGTCGATAATACACACAGATAGAGAGGGTTCTCTGTCTGAGGGTTTAGGGTGGGCTGTACCAGAGGACGAAGCACTTTGAAGAGAGCGACCCGAAGGTCAAACGGGCGGGCCTAATATAAAAGTTGGCCCTTCAGAGAACCGGCCGGCTCAATGCTGTAACCGCTTTTTCCTGAAGAAACACGTTCACTTCTCATGTGATTTTTTACTTTTTACTAACTGATACTATGCGTAGGAATCTAAAAGTATTATTTTTAACCAGTTCGCTTTCTGCCATGTGTACGCTATTGCTTTTGATTTCGTGTAATTTATATTTTGTCACTTTCAAGTTTTGGCTTTAGCATTGGCTTTATGTGACTTAGGGTCATTTTTGCATAGTAAATTTGTTGATTTGTTGAACTTTAACCCATGCGGCTAGATTTAAGTCAAATCAAATTATCCAATTCAGCCTTTAGATTCAGTTCACTTAGTCTAAAATCCTATTACTCATATGATTCTAATGAAGCAAATATATAAAATGTTATAAATAATTTTTGAAGAAATTAATTTATCAATACTCAATAAATCACAATTTGAAGAAAAATAAACTAGAAGGAAAAAGATAATTATGATTATGAATATAGATTGTACATTTGCACAACTAATCTCAACAACGGCTGCAATGATTCTATACAGAGTTAATCAATTGACTTGTTTGATCGTGACCAGAGAGTCATGATGAGTTATACGATACGAAGTTTTAATAGTGAAGGTGTAACCTTAGAGGTTTAACTGACTAAATACATGGGAATAAATATAAATGTGAAAATTTTAAGCTGCGTGAGTTGTGTGACTCAATTGTTATGAGAAGCAATAATTGACCTAATAAAATTTGAGCCACCATAGAGATTGTTAGGAATTTAAAATTTTCTTTAGGCAAGTTTTGGGCTGCAATAAATTGTAATAAAAATTGAGTATTAGACTATATAAATAGATATATAAGTCATAGGTTGAGCTTACGAAATTGAGACAGATATTATACATCATGAAGTTGATGAGTAAAGGCCATTTAGGGGTTGGTAGAGGGGAGACCGAAGATAACACAAATGGCGAGATGGAGTCGTGTAGAGCTTTACATAGTGAAGGTGTTAGGTATTGTAATATCCTTACAAAATTATAATGAAACATTTTTTCATCTATAGACGTAGGTCGAATTTAGTTGAATCACGTTATATTTTGCTCTTTTTATTAAGTGAGTTAATGCTATGCTTGGATCACTAAGTACCTCAACATATACACCGCCCAAATAAAGTTCGGGTTATAATTTTTGGTAGGCCCAATCCTTTTTGGTCCAACCCATAAAAAATAAAATATGTTTAGACTAAGTCCACCCATAGCTCCTAGAAAGCCCATTGCTCCTGGGGAAGCCTGATTACAAGATGGGTTGGGATGATTAAGTGGCCCAAACAAATTAAACAAAGAAAGTATGGAACTTTTTACTTTATTAACCTTGTAAAAAATGATATGATTGTACATGAAAGAAACCAAACAAAGCATTCAATACCTTGTGTACGGGTGTCCATTAAAACTAAAACCTCTTGCATCTAACCAACCGTAGACAACTTGAGAAGTTAGAATTTCAAAGAGTTAGTTGGCGCTTGTTTAAGCGGGCTGGGCCGGTTCACGTGCTGGGCCCATATTCCACTTGTTAGTGGGCCCAATTTCGCAAGGTGGTTGATAAATATTAAATGGAGAGTCTATAGAAAGAGGAATAAATGGTACTATGATCTGTTCAGTGCCCTACAGGCTGTAATGTAACATTTATTTAGGCACACACAAATTACTATTCTTTATTTTTTAAACTCACCAATATTTTTAAACACACAAATTGGAGTTGTTGCCTATGGCCAGGTCTCGGGCTCACTTCTGTTGTTGCGTTTCTCCCTTCGTGGGTTTCATGTATCTCATATCTCTCTATGTCAAAATTCATGTAATTTTTTTTATTTTGGGATATTCTAAAATAATGTCTCATTTAAAAAGTAGATGCATTATTTTTTATAAACAGAGGAAGTATGTGTTTTAATCAACTATTAAGGTCGTAGTGGAGTAATGTTATTTAGGCTTATTTGTGTTATTGAATAATGTAATTTATGAAATTCTTATCCACTTGATGTGGTGGATATGTTTAAGTATAAGCTCTATTTACTGCATCAAAGAGGTAGAAACCCTTCACCTATACTTGAGTTTTCATGTGTTTTAGCTAGCTGTTAATGTCTTACTCGAATGTTGAATAACTCGAGTTTTATGCATAAAAGTTATATATCCATGTAATAAAGAGAGAAAAATAGATTAAAGTATAAACATGGGTTAAGTTTGTTATGTACATTGTTAGCCCTACCCAAATAATAGAAATTAAGAATATGGGCTAGTTTATTTTTCCATGTCATTGTCACCCAATTATTCAAATTACAATTTTAAATAAATTAAGCCCTTTGAGGTAGAGCACTCAATTCCTCCCACACAAAATGTTTACCAAATTGAATGTAGTATGATAACTCGGTAGTAGGGCACGTGGCCAAAAGTCCAGTACGTATCCTCACTCCATGGTTAGTTGCTTAAACTTTAAAAAAAAAAAAAAAAAAAATCCACCAAATTAAGCAAGTACACCTCTGGCAGAGCTGGTCCCCTGGCCCTTCATATAAGACTATGGACATGAAAATTGGGTATGTTACATTTTATCATACATCTTCAGGGTGAATGGGGATGTTACATAGTCTTCGAGCATGTTGCAAAATCTGTTTCTTGACCTCTTGCTATGTGTGAAGTAACAAATGTCAACTTTCATTGTGAGGAGACTTCAAAAAATCCGTCAAATTCATAGAGGAATAAACTTGTGATATCCCTCAGATAGTTATTCAATAAACTAAATTTAATCTTCTAGAGAAATTTTTAATAGAGTAATGATGTACAGATTATTTGTGTCGAAAAAATTATAACTGATGATTTTTTTATTCACTTAATATAGTGGATAAGTTCACCCGTGGATCCTATCCACTAAATCGAAAGGATAAAAACCCCCTTACACAAATAAGTTAAGATAAATTGACCGAAGAATCATTTTCTTTCATTCTATTCCAAGTCATTTCTCATCTCTCCATATCTTACCTTCTACGAAAATCAAATTTCCTCTGAAAAATTGTAATTGAGGCAATTGATTTAACTTCTTGCTCCTTTTTCATAATTTAGAGTATATAGCAAGAACTCTATCACCATCATACAAGTTATGGGGGCACCCAACATGATGCAGTAGGTAAGTTCAAATATGAACCTTATCTATTACATCATAAGGTTTTTATTCACTTGAAGTAGCGAATAAATTCAAACGTAAATCCTATCAACTACGAGGATAGAAATCATTCCGCTAAAGAAATCGGCCAAAGTATTATTTTCCTTTCTAATTAGGGATGGCAACGGGGCGGGTTTGGAGCGGGTTTCTCTAAATCCCGCCCCGCCCCTTTTAATTTTTATCAAGTCCATGCCCGTCCCGAGACCCGCGACGGGTTGGATTTTCATATCCAACCCCGCCCCGTTAGGAAATACTGTGCCCCCGTACCCGCCCCACTAACAAATTTTTTTCTCCCACTTTTTGGAACTTAAACTCCTGCTATTTAAATGTGCAAAGCCTAGGAATGACACAACATAAATAAAATTATGTATCCTAATAAATAAATAAAAAATAACATGCACATAACATAATTCAGATAACATAATAAACAAAAATAAAAGTTTAATACAACCAAATCACAAGAAGTTCTAAGCTCCAACTTCCACCATAACCAAAACAAAAGCAAATTTAATACCAAGTTTATATCACAAATTAGGATTATAAGAGATGGGTAATTGGGTAAGCCGCTAAAATAACTTATTAATATATATATATATATATATATATATGCAGGGCGGGGCGGGGCGGGGCCCCTAGGATATGTATATTGAACCCTTACCCGCCCCGTGACCCTCGACGGGTACAAAATTTGTATCCATGTCCGCCCCAACGGTATAACAAGTGTTCCCATATCCATTATTAACGGGGCGGGACGGGGCGGGACCCCGGCGGGACGGTAAAAATTGACATCCCTATTTCTAATAACTTTATCCTATTTCACTTCATTTTGTGTCCTCTCGTCTCTTACCTTTTATATAAAAATTAAATTTTCTCTATGAAAAAATAAAAATAAAAAATGCAATTGAGGCAATTGATTTAACATCTTGATCCAGGACTTATCAATTACTCTATCATTGACAAATCACATTATGCAAGTGGTGAGGCATCCAATAGGAACCAACCTGAATATGTATGGTGTACATTGGCATGGTACTGATTAATTAAATTTCTTAGGGGGGACAGGACCACTCATTGTGACTGTTATAGCCTCTTTTTATATAGACCATCAAAGTGGGGAGACTTCAACTGCATGGATCAAACCAACCTAGCAATTTTTTACCAGCAAGAAAGGGGGAAAGGCTGTAAAGAAGTCGAAATAAATTTTTTTTTTCCCGGAAATTCAAGAAGTCAAAATAATTGTCTTCATGAACATGTTAGGTTTATGATTGGTGTGGAAGTTTCCGTCCCTCGTGATCCACAACATATCTGATCAAAGTGTAGCAGTTAGAAATAATTGCTACAATTAAAAACAAACAACTGATGATGTGATTGAAGTTGGAGAGATTAAGGTTTGTTGAGTCCAGGAGAGAAATATAGGTTTTAGGTGGAGACGATCATTATCCATCTTCGATAGTGTATCAGTTAGAAACAACTAGTACAGTTAAAAACAACTGATGATGTGATTGAAGTTGAAAATACAAGATTAAGGGATGCTAAGGCCAGGAGAGAAATTTAGGTGGAGACAGGGCGGAACGGATTTTAGTTTAGGGGGTACAAAAATTAAGAAAAAAAAATTATTTAAAAGAATAGAAGAGAAAAAAAATTATTTAAAGGAGTCAAAAGAAAAAAAGAAAAATGACAACTTAAAAAAGAAATAATTAAAATTTAATTTTTTTTAAGGAATTTGAAGAGTAAATTAGGAAAAATCTGGAAAAATAAGAAATAATTTTAAAAACTAATAATTTGAGGAGGGCATTGTATAAAAAATTCTATATATACACATATAAAATACAAAAAAAATTCTATATTTATAGTAGGCGGGGTCAAGCCAGAGGGGGCAAGTGCCCCCCGGGCATATACTGGCCCCGCCCTTGAAGGTCATTGTCCGTCTCCAATGTCCATTAGTGAGAGCCATCTCACTGCACTGTGAATTTAAACTTAATCTAAATTTGTTAAGTCGAAATCTCACTGCTAATATTAATTTTGACCATTAATGTGCTAGTGTTACATGAGTAAACTAATAGTAAATTATTTATTTATGTTTTGTGCAAAATATTGTTGTTGGACTTAAATTCGTGTTAATTTAGGTTAAATTTTTCCTGTTGAATTCAACTACTGGAAGAAAAACTGGAAGAAAAACCAAAGTTTGACAAAAGGAAAAAAAAAGAATGTTCAACAAATCCGTCCAACAATTTCAATATGACTCCCTATCATTGACTTTAATTATTTGAAATCACAGCACTTGCCACTTGATAAGATGTTTAGTTAAGTCCGGTTTGAATTTTCCACAATGAAATTGATTTAAGTACCGTCATAATAATTCATTATTTTGTAGGGCTTCATTTACAAAATTTGGATACTATCATTGTTTCAAACAGAAACAAACGTGACTTTTAGACATCATTAATTCAAATAGAAAAACGATAAAAAGTTCAAATTGATATAATAATCGATTTATATGTCTCTCATTCATTTAAAATCTTTCAAAAAAAAAAAAAAAAAAAAATGACTCCATCATTATTCTATCATTAATTAGAAATAAGAGTTTAAAAAATAATGTCTCTAAGAGAGAGACTTTTATCTTTCAACGACAATAATGAATGAAATTGCGGGAATAAACCTACTGTGTAGCATAACTTTAAAAGTCTTTATTAGACAGTAGACATTGACGAGTGAAGTTGAAAAAACAGATGATAGCAACGAAACCTTCAACTTTGAAATCAAATGTCACATCAACTTTCGATGCAGAAGTCAAATTCAAATTCAAACCACATCTTAATTGGGCGTCCTAACCTGACGACATGTGTCACAGCTGTTTTTATGACTCATAAATGGAGCTAATTTTGCAGCTCCATTAATTTGTATAGTTTCAACTTTTAGCTACTCCAATAGGAGGACACCCCCTCTTAAATACTGAGAAATCCAAATTTTAATTTTACTAAAGCAGGAACGAAAGCGAGGACAAATTTAAAAGCAGAAATGAAAGCGAGGACAAATTTAAAAGTAAGAACGTGAGAGTGACTGAATTAAATCATAAGTGATGAAAATTTAAGTTAGAGCGCGCGCGAAACGTGAGAGCAGGAGCACGCTCGGAGCGTAAGAACGACACTTGTTGAGAAGAATTATGTGACTTAGGTTTTACTCCCTCGTCCTAATTTAAGCGTCAATTTTAAAAATTGTGACTCACAATTTTTAAAATTGACGCTTAATTTAAAACGAAAAGAGTATTTATGAATTGAAAATTAAATAAATTAATTACCTCATGTCTTCTCAAGGCCTTTTGGCAAAGTTTAGTAATTGACAGAGATTGGGAAGAAAATCTTAGACTTTGTTTGGATATATGGGAGAAAAAAGAAGAAATAATAATATTTGTTATGACAGAAAATAAATAATAGTAATAATCTTTATTTATGTTTAGATAGATAAAAGAGAAAAAAAAAAAATTATAATATTCTTGTTTGGATATGATAGATTGGAGAAAGGAATAGGAATGATAAAGACCAAATTACTATCATATCCCTTTTATTACCAAAATTACTATCATATCATTTTAAATAAAAAAGATATAAGTAGAATAATCATTTTTTTTTTAATTATTGAGGGCAATTTCGTTATTATGAAAATACTACTTAAACACTGTCATTTCTATCTATATCTTCTCATTTTTTGAGAGATAAAAAATGAGGGATAAGGAGGGCCTTCCCTATCTCTCTTCATTATTTATTTTCTCTATTTTTAAATCACCCAAACACACTTAATCCTATCACTTCTTTTCTTTTCTTTCCCTTCCCTATCTCTGAAAATCATCCCATCCACTCTTAAAGTCTATAGATTTTTTAGATGATATACATTAACATGTCTCTCTCTAATTTTAAGTGTAATTAAAGTGATTTATATTCATTTGGTGAAACAGATGGAATTGATCTCACCTACTTCATAAAATAGATAAAAACTCTGAACTCTCTCAACCTTCAATCATTCTTCTACAGGAACTTTAGTCTATTATATATTTTGGTTTTCACTTCATTAGGTTACGTGTGAACATTAGGTTACAATGGTTAAATGTATACCCAAAGTGAATTAATTTTATAAATGCATTCCGAAAATGTCAAAACCTAACTTCCCCTAAACCATCTCTCTCATTTGGCCTATCACGGTACAAAGAAAATGAGGAAATAAATGAATCTATATGTGTTCATAAAAATTAGTTTCATATGTGGCGCCTGTAGTGACGAATAACAATCTTGTTCAAAGAAATTAAGATAGCGACTGCAAGTTGTTAGCAATTAATGTTGATTGATTGTACCTTTCCCCAAAAATAAAAAATAAAATTTGTTGATTGAATTAAAATCTTCAGGATGCTTACCTTTCAAAAATAATACCAATAATAATAATAATAATAATAATAATAATGTTATTCAGTATTAATGTTAGAAGATAAAATTTAAAAAATTAAAAATATAAAAATATAATGATGTTATTTACTTATTTTAATAATTGTCAAATTTCACAAATTTCTTACTCGCAAATGAGCAAGTGAAGGGTCCTCATATATATACATATACAGGGACAGAGTAATTTCAGAGAGGACAATAATAATATTTTATGAGTGTATTAACAAGGCTAAATTGCCAAAAAGAAAAAATTAAGGGAACTATAAATTCTTATGTGTTACATTTACACATTGAGACTACAGTTTTTACTTGAAATCTTTTATCAATTAATTTTTTTCTTTTTTTCCACCTCTGTATTGGTCTCAAAATTTAAGACCCAAAGCCATTAAAATAAAGATAGACCAATTTTTACCGATTAATTTCATAGTGAAACATCCAACCTTTTTTTTTTTTTTTTTGCTATGTTTTATATGTTTCATTAGCATCATTTGTGAAATGTTAGCTTGAAGCTACTAAAAAAGAAAAAGGATTACCTAAATTAGAGACCTAAAAAAATATAATAATAAATATATATATACATATATATATTCTTATATAAGGTGTATTGATCTATAATATAATAATCTAAAAAAATATAATAATTTATAATACACACACTATTTAAATCAAAAATATAATTTTAAAACGAAATCTTAAAAATTTACCTTTTCAATTTTTACCAACGCTACGGGACAGTTGTAGGTATACATAAATGATCTGCGATAATCCGCTAGGCTATAGGAAGTCTAATAAGAGAGTAATTAATTGGGGTGACAACTGCTTTTCTATTTAGGCTCGAGTGGAGAGAGATAGAGAGAGAAAGGAGAGAGATAGACAGAGAGGGAGCCTTTACTCAACTTCAATCCAAACCCAACAGAAGCAAAGGAGTAATTAATGGGGGTCACAACTGCTCTCATGAACCCCATAAATGCACCCCAACCAGATCAAAATGAACCATTATATATATCCCTTGCACCCATTTTACCAATCCCACAAATTACTCTGAGGTTCTTTTAGCCACCTCTCTCACTCTCTCTCTCTCTCTCTCAACCATGGCACCACACAAATTGTTGAAGGTGGAAGTCCTAAGCAAAACCCATGTCAAGCCCAAAAAGCCACTAGGAAGAAGTGAATGTCAATTGGTCACATTTGATCTTCCTTACCTAGGCTTCTTCTACAACCAAAAGTTTTTACTCTACAAAGGCTCTAACTTCGATGAAATTGTGGAAAAATTGAAGGCTGGTCTAGGGATTGTCCTGGAAGAATTCTATCAACTGGCTGGCAAATTAGGCAAAGATGCGGATGGGGTGTTTCGGGTGGAGTACGACGACCACATGGACGGCGTGGAGGTGATGGTGGCGGCCGCCGCCGAGGAGGTCGGAGTGGCTGATCTAATGGAGGAGATGGGCATGGCCACGTTCAAGGAGTTGCTGCCTTACAATGATATCTTGAACTTGGAGGGCCTTCACCGCCCGCTTTTGGCCGTGCAGGTAATATGCTTTTTACCAATTTTATCTAATTATTTTATTAATTGTGATCTTATTGATTAATTATTTATTGCATGATCGGTTAATAATTAAATATGTAGTAAAATTTAAATTTTTTTTTTAATGTAATAAAATATTACAAGTATTAGGATAAAAAATCCTTTTAAAATACATTATCAGGCATGAAGGTCACACTTGTCGTTACAAATCACCTATCATTTGATGAAGAGTCCATTTACTCATCTGATGTGCCGCTCTGTTGCATAATCGTGGACTCCAAACTAACTTAAACTCTAAATTTTGATAAATCAAACACTGAATATCTTAAATAATGACCGAATAAATTCATGCCCCTACATTGTCTTTGGAATTCTTGACTTACTATATATTTTTAAGGTGAGGATGTATTACTATATATATTTTTGAAGGGGTTGGCGTTTAATAGGTTAATGTTTAAAAGGTTGCATCAATGATTAAGAACGACATTTTAATTGAAAGACAAGTAGGAACAAAGGTCCGAAATTAGACCAATCAAAGGGTGGTCCTACAGATGTTGACCAATCACATCGAAGGATTGAAATTTAATTACAAGACCAAGTTCACGACATTAAAACAATCCCTTTTAGAAAATAATGTTGGAGGAAGTGTTTGGTAACTTAGAAAATAAGATGCTTTTAACTCAAGCACTAATCGATCAATGCAGATATAACCTTAATTATTTTATTTTGGGCTATTTTAATCGCCCGTGTCTAACAATAACTCTTAATTAATGACAAGTGAATGCATATTTTTGTTGTTTTAATGTGTTCAAATCAACTGTGAATATTTTAAAACTAAAAAAAATTTCACACATTTGATACAAGAGAAAATATGGTAAATGGAGAACAATATTCTTAAAGTAATGAGTTTTACATGAATCCTATCAAAATTTATGATACTTTTGAGTTCTTCAAATGGCGGACCAACGGCTATGGTCAAATATATTCGATATTAAAGGCAATTTAAACAACATTAAATATGGATAATAATTGTGTCTATATATATATATATAGATAATAAGTGTGAAATTTACAAAGATTTATTGAACTAGAAATAGATTGTAACAGAAAAATTTACAAAAAAAAAAAAAAAGATTACACAACTAAAAACTTAATTTTGATGTGATCTTGATATAAAAACACAAACACAATCTTTTACTTGGTCTTAATCGAAATCTCAATATTGGTTCTTCTTATCTCTCTATCAACAAACAATGATCCGATAATCAACTTTAAATTTGATAATTTCTTTGGTAATATAGTTATTAGTAGTTAGTACTATTTAATTTTAGTACACTGATTATTATGAATTTTAATACTGATTTTGAGTATCACTTCCATCGTAAAAAAAATATCATTTTTAGAGAACTGTGAAAGTTAAATATATGAGAGTCAAAAAAAAAAAAGGTGTATTTTCTTTTTATCGGGGGAGAGAGAGGGGGAGGGTGTAGTAGTTATTTTATGACTATTACTGTAGTCAACTACTACTCGGGTCAAACAGACTCTGTACCTAAACGTGGGACACACAACATTGAATTGTCGTACCGTCTGATGCAGCTATTACCATCACCACCGTCGCATTTCGTGTTCAATTTTTTATTTTCTGGGCCCACTAATTTGTGATCTAAATAATGTCAACAGCTAACCAAACTGAGAGACGGCTTAGTGATGGGGTGTGCATTCAACCACGCTGTGTTGGATGGAACGTCCACGTGGCACTTCATGAGCTCATGGGCCGAGATATGCCGTGGGTCCCACTCCATCTCGGTCCCACCATTCCTCGACCGCACCAAAGCCAGAGACACACGTGTGAAGCTCAATCTGGAAAAACCATCGGACGCCCCCGAAAAAGCCAAGTCAGCAGAAAACGGCGACGTCACCAAGTCGGACCCACCACTCCAAGAAAAAATCTTCCGCTTCTCCGAGTCCGCAATTGACCAGATCAAGTCAAACCTCAATTCAAACCCATCCAACGGCACAAAACCGTTCTCAACATTCCAATCCCTCTCCACCCACATTTGGCGCGCAGTCACACGTGCCCGCCAACTCAAGCCAGAGGAAATCACAGTCTTCACTGTCTTCGCCGACTGCCGTAAAAGGGTCGACCCTCCAATGCCGGAAAATTACTTCGGAAACCTAATTCAGGCCATATTCACCGGGACCGCAGCCGGATTGCTGTCGGCACACCCACCGGAGTTCGGGGCGAATCTGATACAGAAAAGCATAGAAATGCATGACTCAAAAGCCATCAATGAGCGTAACAAGGATTGGGAGAGCAACCCGAAAATCTTCGCGTACAAGGACGCGGGAACGAACTGCGTTGCAGTGGGGAGCTCGCCGAGGTTCAAGGTTTACGAGGTGGACTTCGGGTGGGGCAAGCCGGAGAGTGTGAGGAGTGGGACCAACAACAGGTTTGATGGTATGGTGTATCTGTATCCGGGGAAGAGTGGAGGTAGGAGTATTGATGTGGAGATCAGTTTGGAGGCTGGTGCTATGGAGAAGTTGGAGAAGGATAAGGAGTTCCTTATGGAGGCTTAGAAGTGATCAATTAATTAAGTGGTTGTTTATTATGGATTTGGAGAGTTTGGCTGGCTTTGGCTTAATTAGGTCTTGTGTTTAATTTGTATCCTTTTAATGTGACAAATGGTATGTGTTGTTGATATATATGGTTTAAGACTTTTAAGAAGATGGTGTCTAGAGCTTTTTGTATCTGTAAGCTAGCTCCTAGCTGGAGTTTGTTTTGTGGTTTTTCTCTTTATGAGAGAGCTTTCCTTCCACTCAACAAAATCGTGGGATAATAATATAATGGGTGGTGATTGATGATTTGTTTCAGTTGAATGCTTTATTTCTTATGGGTTTTTTTTCGGAGTATTGAATCTAAATTTGCTTTTTGAATTTAAAATTGAAAAAAATTTTAATTTTAAATTAAACTAAATTTATTTCAATTCCAATTTCATGATGCATTAAGGCTCTCTTTGGTTGGGTATAAATTTTTTTTTCAGAAAATATTTTTTTGTGTTTTCTGATATTTGGTTGTTGTAAATTATTTATAAAGAAAAAAAATTAAAATGTAATAAAAATAACTTATTCATCAATTTTCGATAAATTATTTTACACGTTCTATCTGATGGACTCGATTTCAATTTCGACTTAGATTTTTGTCAAATACTAAAAAATAAAAATAAAAAAAAATTATTTTACCTCAAAACAAACAGAATTTAAGTGCAAATTTAATTTTTTATAAGACTGTCATTCAGATTGTATATTCTCCATTATAAAAAAAACAAGAGGGAGGATAGGAAATTAATCCAGATGGCAGAATGCCGGTAATTAAGTTCTACATTTCATCTGCAGTGATGCTCAAATTTATGTCAGTTTAATGCTGTTCTACTGTTACAGAACTTCACAAGTTCTATCCAAGAGTGAAATTACATGATTATATATAGAAGTAAAAACAAATTTGATTCTAAAAAGTAAACAAAATTAATCTCATAATTTTAATTAGCATCGTAAATGATATTGCACTATCCCTAGCTCCCAATAAATAAATACACTCGTCGTGAGGTCCATAGTTAGGCCTTTAGTGTGGACTCTGTAGGGTAGAGTACTGAAAAGGGCGATGCTTCTCCTTATCATGAATAAGACCTTGGAATACACACAGCAATACATATTTTGAGAGAAAATGACTGCATTTAAACAACTTAGGTCTATTGCTCGGCCTTTGATGGACCAAAATACTTTCCAAATTGTCCTAGCTGTACTCGATCTATAGTTCTTTAATTTCATTTTTTTTTTATTTAAAATTAGCAAGAAACACACATTCATATATTCTTGTGAGAACTTCAACCCTCGATTTTTTATTTTTAAAAGGAAAAAAATTGCTACCACAGTACAACTTATTACATTTATTTCAGTAAGTCTTGTTACTACAATGTATCAGTATTTAATCAGTGAATAATATCGATACGTATCATTTCAACCCCAACTAACTCCGATGCCTCTCCCTCGATCTCCAAAACTCTTCCATCGTATCTCTTCAAGCAGTATCCACCGTCTTTGGAACCGTATTTGTTTGGTTGCATGTTTTCTTGTTGTCTGGTCTCTGTTGTATGTTTCTCTTGTCCCTTGCCTTTTTGCTAGCTCCTCAATAAGCAACCTTGTTGTGTTATTGTGAGTCTCGCTTGTAACAATCTTGCAAGTGTTTGGGCCCAACACTTGGGCTGAGAACTTGTGTGTAGCATTGTTGTTCTTTAACATTTTGTCTCTCCAACATATTTATCAACTAAAAAGTAAAGGAAAATTGAGTACCCGTAAAGTATCAAATACAGTAATGTATTACTCTCACTTCAAATGACAACTAGAATCCAGCTGTCTATCATCATCCAACTTTCTGGCTATGAAAGAGAAATACCTTTAAAATGTGTTATTTTTTATTTTTTTGGTGGGCAGAGAAAAAAAAAAAAAAAAAAAATGGGTTACTTTTTAGAAGGCTATGTAACATTTTCTTTTCCTACTTTTCAAAATGGATTTTTACATATACATGAAATTTCGGACCTTTATTAACCATTTTATAAAGTCAAAGGGCATGATATTTAAAAAAAATAAAATTAATCAAAATACTGAGGTGAACACGAAAAAACAACAATGTTAATTTGTCGAAACTACTATTTTTTAGCTATTTTGAAGTTGATCCACCTAAAGCCCAAAAGGTTAAGAGGAGAATTCTTTCACTTGATTAACCCAGTTGGATATATGGTCTGGGCCGCTGGGTCGGTGTTACAATCGAGGCCCAAGACTACACGTGCGAGTCACGCGACGTAGACACTCTGGTCTATTAAACTTTTCCTGTCAAATTAAATCTTATATTTCGATGTAAATAACTAAAATATATTTATTCTAGTTTCCTTTCTTACTGGAAAGGGTTCCATTTCAGCCTTTATATACTCCCTCCCCTCTCTCTCTCTCCACTTCGCCGATCGTTCCCCTGCAGCTATTTCCGGTTTCCTTACAATATTTCACCTCGTCTCCGGCGACTTCGAAATCACTCCGGTCGTCTGCGATCTCTCAAACACCTCCATACTGGTATGCGAACTCTCTTCTTCATACCTCTATGTTCTCTATATTGTACAGTCTTGTCACGTGTGATCGCGGATCACGTGACCTCTAACCCTAACAAGCTTTTCTCTTTTCGATTCCATTTCTTTTCAAATCTGATTAGGTTTAATATATGTTCCATGTTTTTTAATCTCATATGCTTTTGTTCTATGATCTGCTTACTAATTGTTTATTTATATTTAGTTTTTTCTGTTTGATTAGTTGTGTTGCTGTCATTTTATATCATGTTTCAATTTTATTTATCTTGTAGATTCAGTGATTAACTATTTGGTTGTTAATTTCCTCCTTGAATTTTGTTGAATGGGCATTATAATGTGTTGATTGGGTGGCTGTTTAGTGAAACATGCTGTGCCTCGTAAATACATATATGTTCAATGTGCCATTGATTGATCTGGTCTTTGCGAATTGTGTTGTATTGGGAGTTTGTTCAGCATTGGTAATCTGAGTTCCTTATTTTTGAGTTTTTCGAAAAACCTAACTGGGTAGATTTGGTATTGTCACATTTGCAATCACTACAATTTATTTTTATGTTATATTCTTCCCTAGGTATGCCTGCAACTTGATAGCAACAACACCAGTGCATGCTCACAAATTAGACATACATACACATATACAAGGAGTGGGATATGTAGTAGTAGTTGACTTTTGTGTAATGTTTGCACTTTGCACATATGACCAATATTGTTTAGTGGGAATTTATCAACTCTTCTGAGAATGGGAAGAGAGGAAGTTCTTATCTTATTGCTGATTTCTTATTTATCCTCTTGGTGGATATCTTATTTTCTAGCAGGCTTATTGATTTTTCGGTTCTTTGATTCCATTTTTGGAATATTTTGAACATGTTTTGTCACTTAAATGCATTTGTTGAGATAATAGTTAACTCTTAATGTGTTGTTGGACGCTCACATTAAAATGAAGTTTTGGACTTGTGTAATTATGTGGCTCTCAGTTGGCAAGTATAAATCGAATTGACAAGTCATATATTTTACTTACTGCATATTGTTGTTTGGCATGCTGATGTTTCATGTTTTATAGCATATATGGGTTTTGTTTCTGAAAATGGACCAGCAAAGGGTTAATTTATATCATTGTTTTATATTAAACTAATTATCATTTTATCTTCCTTTTTTTTTTTTGTTGGTTTGGGAGCAACACCTCCTACCCTTTTTTTTCTTACTGAAATAATGTAATTTTTAATATGTTACTGACAGGATTTTGAAGTTAATTTAGCTGAGGTCCTAATTTTCAAAGATCTTAGGAAAAACAGTAACAATTCTTTAGATGATGGTTTTTTGGAGGTTATTTTTTTGAATTTTGTTGTTTTGATATTTATTGCTTCGTTATAATTGTCTTAGTTTCACCTTAGTTGCAATTTATCAGCATGTTTACATGTGCTTGAGATGCATGGAACATTGAAAGGGAGAGAAAGTGTACACATTCACTGGACCCAGAGGAGTGCAAATAGATCCTCTTAGTTTATTCTTTGCCAACTCTTTGCTAACTGACATAAATGACCAATTTAGTTACCTGCAGTGCAAGAATTAATTAAGTCATGTAATTAAAGCAAACAGTCATGCAGTTACTTAAGACACATGATGTTGTCAATACAAGACTAAACCCTCAAATCTTCAATGGTTGAAATGTTGTTGAATCCCCACAAAATAAAGGCTCAATATGCTATCTCTCAACATACTTATCAAAAAAAAAAAAATGCTATCTGCAACATTAATCCAAACTCCTTTGGATCAAGACACTCAAATATGAGCAACTCCTTTGAATCAGCTTGAAGCTTCAGTCAAGTTGGAGTAGGAAACAACAAGAATTTTGATCAATGCTTGATGCTGGATTGGTCTATCTGAAAGTTGAAATAGACAAACACATACTGGAGTAACTAGGACCTGTCTGCCTTGACCTCAATCAGTCTGACACATATTGGAGCACCCTTGACCGGTCCACCATATTGACTCAATCTATTCAAGGTTGACATGGATCGATCGATCCATAAAAGCGTTCGATCTGTCCACTTACCTCCTAATCAAATTCCAATCATGTTCATCCGTATTCGAAGGTCAATAAAATATCTTTTAGGTCAATCAACTAGCATTAGCAACCGAAAGCCTTATCTACGTCACTTACCATTTATAAAGGGCATGATCAGTGTGTATAATTAGTAATATATTAATTCTTCTTTACCCCAATGCCTTAAATGTTCGTATGTTCGTGCAAAATGGTCAAGAGTTCTACTCTTTCCGTGATTCTTGTGCCTTAGTTTTGGGATTTTGGTTCAGTGAAAATTTTCATGTCACCACTTTCACTTTAGATTAGACTTGCCCCCAAAAAAATTCTTTAATGGTCTTTTGGGCATTGTACATGAGTTTTATGGACCTTTATTAAAGTTGGATCAACTAGCAAATTTTTTTTTTTCTTGGTTTTTGTCATGAATCTGTTATTGAGCTCTTACGGTCCATTATCCATGCTTCATTAGTGTCTTGATATTCTCTTAGTTTGATTTTATAAAAGTTTTCTTCTTCAGTGTCATTTTATGAGCCAGTGATTTCTGAAGCCTGAGTAGATGCCAGTTGCAAAACTCAGGTCTAGCAGCAAAACAGACGCCATGAAATCAGAGGAGGGGAATGATTCCCTTGACACTATCATCAGACAGGCAATTGGAAAAGAGCCTCTGCTTTCTTTCCCAAGGACAGGGGACAGCCCAGTGCAGTGGATCCAATTACTTCATGCCTTAGATCAGCAAGGTACTAGAAAGTTTTCTAATTGTCAAAAGTTTTCAAAAACATGAAATGGATGGAGTGTTCTCTAGGGAATAGCAATGGTCTCAGTTTGTACTCATCTGAATGTGTTTTCACCATTTGAGAAGTGGTGTTCACCCTGTAAGGGGAACAAAACGCTTCTGAAAATTCACAGTCGCTCAAACTCCATGGGCTTTTATTGCCTTAAGTTAGGCGGCTGCTAAAGCCAATGTTAGCCTGAAAACTGTGTTAAATATCATAAACAGGTATCTGGGTTTATTTAGCTATTGGTTTATCTTAATGTTGAAGCCAAGTAATTTCATTCATTTAATCTCATTTCTTATATAGATCTCCCGGGTTGGCCCTTGTTGTCTCCTTTGAAAATTCAAATGCAGAAGTGTGAGAAGTGTTCTCGGGAATTTTGTTCACCCATCAACTACAGGAGACATATACGCGTGCACCGCCGCTCTTTAAATGTTGACAAGGTTTCTTACTGTTTTGAGATTTTAATTTTGGGACTATATGTGCAAATTGCTTGTGTGGCCAATTTGAAGTTTAATTATTTGTTTAAATGTGTAACCCAATCGCCGGCTTCCTTTCTTTTAATGGATTTCATTTTCTTCTGATTAGTTCTCTCTGTGCTGTGGCTGATGCTACTTACATTTTGTAGGAATCTACAAAAAATAGGGATTTATTAGGAGCATTTTGGGATAAGGTAATGATTTTTCTAGTTTTTTGAGTGTAGGCCTTCCGCTATTAGCACCGTGCTCATATTTTTGTTTTGAGTGCAGCTGTCTTTGGATGAGGCCAAGGAAACTGCGTCATTTAAGGATGTCACTCTAGAGGTAGTAATCTCATCTTTATCTCTCCTGCTGTAAATCTATCTGTTGCTCGTCTATTAAGTTCCAGCATGCCTATGTTGATATTTTACAAGTTAGTTTTATGATGTTCGCCTCTCTAAACCAATGGGTTTGGAAAATTGTTCTCTCGTGAAAAAAAAAATGAGTTTAGAGTTTTTCTATCCATGGTACTTTAGAAGCAATGTTGGGATTGCATTATCTTGTACTCTCTCTCTATCTCTGTGTGTGTGTCTTTTCATCTCTCATTTTTTGGAAAATTCAGAATATCTAATTTTTAAATATAGTAAAAGCTTGAGGTTATCTATTGATTATTATCTGATGTATCACCCTCTCTCCTTTGGCGGCCCTTTTTCTTTGTTCAATATTTTTTAGAAATCAGAAGGTAGTAGTGATATTCCCCCCCCACCCCTTCTCTCCATATAAATATATCTGTTTCGCCCTATCTCTTTCAGGGACAAAAACACGCAGTGACAAAATCCATCTTGTGCACATTTACATTTTCTACATTTTTCTTGAGAAAATATGTTTCTCCATTTATGTCTTTGTTCTCTTATTGTTTCTTAATAGTTGTTGCTCATTGAATTTACCTTTTAGGATGTTCCTGGGTCTTCAATCATAAGAGCTTTGACATCATTTATCCGCAAACCAGGATTTTGCATGCTTCCACAAGTTTATGTGAAGGCTGGCTCTGCACTTTTGGTAATGGGAGCTTTATTGATATTTTTTCTATTATTATGCTTTTATGAGTTTCTTTCCATTTTTTTTTTCCAGCTGGTATCGTCCTTTTTTTCTTTTGGTTATTATTCTCATAGCCTAATGTACTAATGATGTACCATCCACAGGATATCGTCCAAGCTAGACCTTCCAGACTTCCAATATCTTCCCAGGAATTATTCAGTATCCTTGACGATGCAAGTGAGAGAACATTCTTATGTGCTGGCACAGCTGAATCGATGCAAAAATTTGTTTTTGATGGGGAAGCTGGGAAAATTGGTCTTGAGATGAAGAACTTGGTTGCTTGCACCAGCTTCCTTGTTGAACAGAAACTGGTACCAACTTTTTCCCTATATTATTATTTTCTGATGGGGGTATTTAGTTGTTAATATAGAGTAGGGGTGTTTGTAGTTATTCTTAGTATGTGATATCCATGATCTCTCTCTGTTTAACTAGTGTGTGTGTGTGTGTGTGAGAGAGAGAGAGAGAGAGATGTTTTTATGCGTTTGCGTGCGAATGTCCATAATATAGATGCAGATGTTATTTGTCATTGTCTTACTTGGAAAGCAGCCCCAATGTCATTGACTGAGATGTGCACAAACATACTATATATCTAGTTATTCACTCTGGAAGAACATCACTTTTTTCTCTTTCTTTCTGTTATAAGAAAATGATGATTGAATTTTGAGTTATTATCCTTTTGTGCTCAGGTCAGAGCATGGCTTGCTGATAAGGACGCTGAAGCTTTAAGATGCCAAAAGTTGCTTGTGGAGGAGGAAGAAGCTGCTCAGAAAAGGTAAATTGCATCTATTGGTGCACACAATTTCAATCATGTGTGTTTGTTCCTGCTAACTTGTCCAAGTCCAACAGTGCAATCCCCTTGTGCCTGTGACATTTCATTTATGTTTTTCCTGTGATATCAGCAACCGATAAACAACTAGAGATAACTTTCATCAATTAGGTAATAACATATTATTTCCAAGTTCCTCAAGGAGTGAATTGAAGTCCTAGAAAATAACAAGAAGATATGCACTTCACTTGCTTTTCAAGGGGAATATCTTGTGCAAAGTGGTTCGATATAATTACCTAAGCATGAAGCCTTTTATTATTATTATTATATTTTTTTTTAGTTATAATCATGTCTATCTGGATTCTTTTCGACCTTTCACAAGTGAGTTTAACTTCACGCCAATATAACTTGCTCATTTTGAAACCAGCAGTTAATTGATGATGTATGATAATTATCTAAAAGGCCCTCAGTATGGTGTTCATTAGTTGACGGTGCTGGGTGGGACCTTTGGCATTATTCACTCAAAAAGGTTGTTCTCAGACCTAAATACAAGAAATTAGACAAACTATTAGGAATTAGAGCTAGAGAATTAACTGTGTTAAGTAATAGCAAATTTTACATTTCATTGAAGTTTTAATTTCAGAATTACTTAAAAGGTTTAAAATTAAGTTTTTGGGTTATATGTAATTTAAGGAAGAGCTTCTTTAGCTCTACTCTTATTTCCTTTAGTGGATATTTTGTATTGGGAATTTCTACAAAAGTGCCTATAACTTCTAGGTTATTGTTTTTGATGTTATTTGTATTAGTTGTCCTTTTGTTTTGGTACATTTAGGGTTAGAATTAAGCCTATGTAGAGGTTCAAAGTAGGGTTGTGAATGACTGATATTTTGTTAATAAAATTTATGCAACTGTGGTCACTTTATCTCTCCTCTTTTTCTTCTATTTCTTCTCATTCTTCTTTTTCATCATCAGGAGGCTTGGAAGTCAATTTTGTGTCCCAAACTCGCAGAGTTGTTTTTTGATTTCTCTCTTGACTTGATTTTCTCTTCTCATTTTTCTTTTTTGTTTATTACTTCGAAAACCTTAATTCAGGTTACATAGGTTTAGTAAGAACCGAGATCCATAAAGGACATTAAGGTGGTGAATAGATGATTATCTCAATTTGAAGAATTAGAAAACCTATGGTTGAAGTCTATGCTACAAGAGGGGAGGACATGATCAAATAGTTGTGCAGCCCACAGGAATATATGTCAATTGATACAAGTTAGTCATTAGTTTTAATAGGAGTCCTTTAAGAATAAGATTGCTGATTTTTAAAACTTTATAGGACTTCTAATGGTTTCAAAAATGAAATTTGAGCATTTAATGATCATCATGCGGACTGATATTGGAAAAAAATTGAAGTTGCTCTATATTTGTGTGTTTGTTCCCCTTTCTCCATTTTGTCTTCTCTTATCCTTCCCTAATTTACTTCTCTTTTCTATAAATACTGAGAGGTTTCGAAGTCATCTTTTCACCCACCTTTGCCTTCTTACATTTCTGTATATTTTTTCTTAATTTTCTTTCTTGTTAACAAGATGTTTGGATGATGCAATGTGCACCCTCTCTCCCTTTTTTTTTGGTGGTTTAGTCTGTCCTCATCATGTTATACATGTACAAGAAATCAGTAAGTTTTACTCATCACATGTCCAATGAAATTGGTGGCAAGAACCAGGTTACATCAACCACCAAAGATACAATAGTGTAGATTTCGGCATTCCTTCAAAAGTCCTCTCAAGCGCCACAGTTACCTGATACCGAATTTCTGCATGTCAATATGTTTCGCTATGCATATAGTTTAGCTATGAAATTAATGTCTTGTTTCATCTTTTATCTAAATCTTAATAGGCAGGCTGAGCTGTTGGAAAGGAAAAAACAGAAGAAGCTTCGGCAGAAGGAGCAGAGAGCAAAGGAGCAAGCAATTGCAGAGAAGGCAGATTTAAATGTCACTATTGATACATTTGAGAGTCCTCCTGCAGAAATATCCAGCCCTACAGCTGCATATGAATCCAGTTCAGATGCTGTAGATGCTTCATCTGATCATGTTCCCTCACTCCTTGAACCTGTCTCATTTTCAAACATTGAAGAAGATGCAGATACTGAAGCTCAGTGTGGAATTAGCATTGAACATTCTGATTCTGCAACTTGTCAGAATATTGAACGACAAATTGTTCAGGGATATGGTCGTCGGCATTTAGTTATTGCTCGATGGCAGGTGCAGAAACCACAAAGGAATGGAAGAAATGGCTTCCATGCAATTCAGAATCAAATATCGAAACTTGAGCCGGCAAGAAAGCACGGTGCTCCCAGGGATCTAAGGGCTACTCCAGCAGTCAATTGCAATAAGGTTTGGACGAGGAAACCTAAATCAGAAAATGATGGGGAGACTTCAAGAACCAGATTACAGGGAGAGACAATAAACCAAACAGATACAATAAAGAACTGTGAGGTGATGATTGGTTCTATAACTGTGACACTAGGAAATTGTACTGCTCAGAAACTGGTCCATGACAGAAATAGTAGCGTAGAGCATGCAATGCCAAGGAAGAATAATGTTCAGGAGAAACACATAAAGGCTGATTCTGTTCAGAACGGCACAAGCCGATCCTTGGTTAAACGTTGGAGGCAAGTGAGTCGGCATGATTCTGGAGGTGCAGTGCCTGTTCAAAGTGGCAATCAAGAATTTGAAGGGGATGTGATAAATGGAGAGAGCAATTGTAGAACACTGCCCAGTGAAAGCTGTCTAAGGTCTTCTGCTGTAGACAGTGGTAGTGAGAGTGGCACCAATTCTCACTCACTATCAGAAGAAGATGCGCAGCCAGAGGGCCTGCTGTTCTCCAGCCGTGCTGCAAAAGATTTTCTTGCACAGAGTAAGTTTGTTTTTTGTCACACTGAAGTGCATGTATATTGTTAGTATATCAAACGTGTTGGTCCATTGATTCTAGTTTCTGATTTGTTACAAATCACATGTAGGATGGAAGGAGGCTATCATGGCAGACCACGTAAAATTAGTCCTATCCCCAGAATCTGAACCTCCAGGATGCCCCAACAACCATGATGATATTCAAGTAGTAGCCTCATCATCATCAGATCGCAAAGGTAAAATTCCTGACAATGCAGAGAACCGGGTGGCTGATGCGGGGGATCTTGAGTATTTAACCACCGGAACTACCAAATTTGAGTGTCGGTTGAAGCCTGAGAAGGGCATTAAGATAAAGTACATTCCAAAACAGAGAACAGTCGCCTGAAAAAGAAGGAAAGATACAAATTTTTTTTTTTTTTTTTGGTTATACCAAGTTTGACCCAACAGCATGGTTACATTGTTAGCAGAGGTTCCAGTTTTACCAATGGTCTTCTGTCAGAAGAAAATTGAAGAAAGGTTTTTCCGGAAAGTAATTTATAGTTCCGTCCTTTTTTCTTTCTTGGGCTGTCATGACATTCTGGTTGGTGAGGTTTTTGCTCATTGTCTAGATATTCTGTAATAAATTGAGGTATTAGGTTCATTTGCAGATGTCCGCCCAAGCTATCTATTTTAGCCATTTGTGATCTCTTATGTTTTGCCAATCAAACAGTGCATGAATATGATCATTGATGATTCAAAATATTTTTTTCAGCTGATGAACTTGTGTGTGTCTGTCTCTGGTAAAAGTGGATTTGTATCGCTTTAATATTTTACCTTTGCTTGTGAGACCCATGGGAACGGTGCCCATTTTTTTATTTTTTATTTTAAAAATCATTAGAATAATCAAACACTCCCATTCGGTTAATTTACTTTGTTCATTTTTCATTCAAGTTTTCTTTGTTATTCCTTCGCAGTGAATTAACGGAAGACTCTCCTGGCGCCACTAATTGCAGTTAGAAACTGGTAATTCAAGCGATAGAGAAATTTAAGTGTCTAAAATTAGGTTATTTGTATTTATATAATGGATAAATAATCAATCTACTATTATAGTAACCATAAAGAGTAGCATTAAAAGTGTTACTATCAATTATTGCAATTCGGCCAGTAACAGAAACGGACCTTGTTAAAATTTGATAATCAACGTCTTTTAGAGATGAAAGTGAGTGTATAGATATGATTATATGGGCTTAATTATTATAGAATGCTTTGACCTGGCCGCTTCCCATTTTCTGGGATGACAAGGTCGTTTGGTATCTCATCTCAAACTTGTAGTGACTCCCTGCACCACAAATCTTCCCGCAAACTAAAACATCGGTTTGGCATTACAACTGCGAATCACATGCCTGTTGAGTAGCTTCAGACATTTTACTAACCCACAAGCCACTAACACTGATTGCCACTTGTACACCCATTTCAACTTAACCTCATCATTTATCTCTCCTCTCCCAAAATTCTCTCTCTCTCTCTCTCTCTTCCCCAATATGAGCAATCTACATTCTTTCCCAGAGAGAACATATAAGCACAAAGTTCGGGGTTGTTTAGGCCATTTTGTCTCCAACTCATATAAAAAATTTCCCTTCCATGCAAGAAAATTCTCAATCCAAATCCCTTTTCTTAGACACCAAAAAAAAAAAAAAAGCCTCATTAACCATGGAAACAAAATTTGGGGTAGGGTGGGTTTATGAAATGATGTACACCTCCCATATGAACAACCTGAGCAATTCCACCCTTCCATCCCAAAGAAAAACAATCAAGATTCTAACATTCACAAGAGCTTCTCCACCTTCCCCCAGCTAACATTCTAGCTGCTGTTGTCATCCTCGCCACCAGAGGCATTGTAAGACTTCACATTCTACGTGTATTTCATATCAAAACTTGCATTTACATTTTTTGTCCTTTTCATGGATCCCGCCTCTTTTTTTTACCAAAATAACAGGGGCTTGTTTGGTTTAGTTCCTTTTTTTCGTTTCTGTTTTTAACTCTATTTTCAGAACACATCTTTTAAAAACTTAAAAAAGAGTCTTTTTTCCCTCAGTTGACAACTTTTTTTGCCTCAATTGACAATAAGACAATGCTGCTTTCCAACTTAGAGGAAACTAACTTTTCAAGGAATATATACGGGTGAGAGATTTATTATGGTCCCTTGGCTAAACTAACTTTTCAAGAAATACAGAGGTTGATAAAAAAATTATGAGTAGTGATGCTTACACCGAACACTTGTATCGTCTAATCGGATAATTTTTAATTAGTTATTTATACTACATATAACTAAATGGAGAGCTCTACTCCCTTGTTTTTTGCACACTTGGCTAATTTAAAAAGTAGGTCTAGCAATTCACTGCATTGGTTATTTATACTACATATAACTAAATGGAGAGCTCCACTTCCTTATTTATTGCACACTTGGCTAATTAAAAGAGTAGGTCTAGCAATTCACTGCGTTGGTTATTTATACTACATACAACTAAATACATACAACTAAATAGAGAGCTCCACTTCCTTGTTTATTGCACATTTGGCCAATTAAAAGAGTAGGTCTTGCAATTTACTGCAACTATTCAGTGCAAGAATCACATTGTCGTCCACTTCGGATATGGCCCAGCGGTTTACTCGCTTGACTTTGGAGCTTAACAAGCCCAAGGTCTGTGAAATTCGAGTTCCGCTAGGTGTTGTTTGTGGTTAGTATATCCACTATCCCTGCAGTGACTTACCCGGCCTGGATGGAAAGGCGCCCTTCTAGGTCCTCAGGAATTAGTCGGGTTATTGAAGAGCTCTAAGAGATTGTGCCATCCCGAGTTAATAAAAAAAAAAAAAAAAGTTTTAACATTGTCATCGTCTTTCTTTTCTTTTTTTGTTCTGAGCGATGAGAATTAACATTGTTAACAATATCCTTTCCTCTTTTCACTTATCCAAACACCCTCTAATTTCAGTTCTAGAATCTAAACCCTAGTTTCAGAAGGGGAAAAAAAATGCAATTTTTTCCAAGTAGAGGGAGTTTTAGAGATGCAGATGCAAGTAAAGCGGGGGAAGAAACCAAAAGCCATGGTGGTGGTCTGGATCTCACAACTCTTAATTCTTACAAATAACACTCAATGGGGCAATGTATCAACTTTAAAGACGAAATATGAAAACCTAGTAAAACAGTTAAATAAACACCTATACCCTTTAGGTAGCAATTTAAAACAATTGAAGGTTCACAAAACTTCTACAATAAGTGCCACATGCAATATCAGACAACTGCGCAGCGTTGAAAATTTCATGTTAAGATTAAGCATAACGAAAATGGCTGATAGTTACAAACAACTGGGAAACAAAAAACTCTTCTCTATTTGTTTTTCTTCAAGCTTTTTGCAGCAAAGAAAACATCCTCAAGAACAATTAAGACGAAAAAAATAAACTCATGCAGCCCGTACATAACAAATCACCACTGTCCTAGGTTCTGATAACAGCAAAGCCATTCTGCATATCATCCAAGTTGTTCAGGCTGCACCTTGCGAGATTCATGCCATCTGCACACTGGATATTTATCTTAGATCCATACCTGCTCAGGAATCCAATATTTTATGATTAATTTGAAGAAAATCAATATTAGTCTAATAATATAATTATCACATACATAAAAAATATTATTTATTATTCGCCGTGTCCATTTTTAATTTTTTAAGATTTGTCGTGCCGTCCTGTCCATGTCATTTTATATCAGTGTATGTGCTTCTTAGGTCAGAAGCAAGAACCACATCGACCAGAAGTCGAGGGCACCTCAAAAGAGAGGATGAAAAAGGCCACAATTTCAATCTGCTCCATGATAAAGAAAGTCACTAAATAAAGTAAACAGCATAGAGGTCTGATTAGAAAAGGCAAAAAGCTAACATCCAACTTAAGGTTAAAAAGAAATTTTTTCCCTTTTATGTATAAAGCCATAAACACATTACTATGGAATGAGCAAGGTAAGTAATACCACTAGGATAGTGCAAAAAAAAAAAGTACAACTATTTGAGTAGATTCTGAGCTATAAACATATAAAAATAGTACAGTAATTAACAGGTATACCGCCTCAATGAAGTATTAACTTCAAGAAAGAGCAGACCTGCATATCTCTCCAAGGAACCATTGCCATTCATGGATATTGGTAGAAGCCTCCTTTCTTGACCCAAAGATAGAATCTCCTGCATTCTTTCTGGCCAAACAGAGTTTAATCTTCGAGCAAAATCCTCAACTTCCCTACAATTAGAATATAAACATAAAAGTAATATAAAAGTATAAAAGCATCCCTTGAGAGACTAATTTTGCAAAAATTGTGTTGGGTATCATAATATTACAAAGCTCGAAGCCCCAAAGCTCAATGGTTCTACATACTTTCTATTCATAATTGAACAATTTGTTCTCTTCTGTTGCTTAAAACTTCTTTTATTTAAATTCCTCTATTTGAATTTAATTTACACAAACATATCTGGACATATCTTTATTCTCTAATGCACTCTCACCAACTACAAGTTAGCAGATGAAAAGTATTAAATTCCAACCAATGTATTAAAAGACATGTGATGCATACATCTTTAGGAATCCCAGAAAGTGAGGCTCTAGGAAAACTGTGTAGCACTCCGTAGGAGCTTAAATCCCATTGGCTAACACCTATTTGTACATCTTAGAGATTGAGTCTCTCCAAATGCCTGAGGCATACACTGCTTAACAGAAAAGAAAAAAAAAATGTCGGTGTCATACGATTGCCTTCCTTTCTAGTAAATTTCCATTCATAATGTAAATAATACGATGTTGTGAATTTGACACACACTCTTGCATATCAGAAAACAAACTTCTCTAACATTTTGGAAACTAATCAATGGTTCCATAAGAAGATCACCGCTATGGGCATGTTCTAGAGCTAATAACAAACTTAAAACTTGAGGGCAAACAATATGGTGTGGCTGAATGTCATCTGTGTCAGTATCTTATGGTTGTTTTGAAAGGAAAAAGAACAAAAAATCATAGAACGACAGCAGCAAATTTCCATTTGATAGTTGAGACTGATTTAACTTTTCAAACAGCAATGTTGTTTTAACCTTTCAGCCCTTGGTCCATGGTGCATTGATCATTCTCCAGATATAGATGCGAGCTACCAATACCATTTTCCTGAACATATATATGTGTCTATTTATAAACACATTAGAGAGTGTATTATAAATCATTCATCTTAACACACAATAATAGATTACCTACACTTCACCGGTGTCAGCCAAGGTAGAGACTTGGTCGTGACGTATAAACATGCAATAGAATTAGTATTTAGCCACTCAGCTTCTTCAATGTTTTTGACTCAGAATATGAAAAGCTAGCAGCCCTTTTTTTTCCTTTCCTTTTCTTTAGTGCCTTTATAGGCATGACGCACAAAACCACTGTCCCATTGGGATTCAAATCCCAACCTCCCTTTTGGTAGAGGAGGAGATACAGTGATCAGCTAGCAGAGATCAACAATCAGGAGAACTTTAAACATAGTAGATTTTGTCCAGTCTACCCAATCTCAAGAATGTGCTACCATGCATCTGCCATCAGGTTGTGCTTTCATCACCCATTGCAGAGAATTTGACTTTTATAAGCCAGCTACATGACTTCTTTCTATTGCAAATTGAGAAACAATAGACAGAAGGCTTGATAAAGAGTCAATGAGTTGGCACCATTATTAGACCCCCCGACCATCAAAGGGATCCTTTATTTTAACTACAGACCTCCAGGGGAAAAAAAGTTTTAACTACATAATGTGAAGTCAATATATCATATATCCAAAAGGACAAATGTTTGGCAAAACCATCAAACCTGTCAAGCTCTTCCTTCATTGCAGGATCTAACTCGTCATCAATATCACCATCATCAAACTCAAGCTTAAGTGAAAACGGAACAGATGCATAGTCTTGCAACTTCGAAGTTTTACTTGAAGTATGCACATCGTCAGCTTCACCACTCTGGCAGAACCAAGACCATTTAAATTCTTAAAACATAAAAATCCATCAGCAAATAACAACTGAGTAAAATATTACTCTCCTAAGATGCATTATAAAATAAAGAGATAGAAAGACAGGCAACAAATAGAAGAAGGTGGTGCCCACCATCTTATGGTTTCCATTTGAATTGTCAGCAGAGAAGTCCCTTGGCTGATCTTTTCTCCTCCTATTTTTCTTTTTATTCTTAGTAGCTCTAACCCCTTTCGAATCTGTGAAGTAAAATACAATAAATCATCCAAGAAAATAAGGAGATTTTTATAAATACTAGAAATATCCAATCTGTAGAATAAAACGCAGGTACATATAATCCTTATCCATTCCAGCCCATAAAAATCGATTTGCAATTTAACTAACCTATAAGCCACTGAATCAAGGATGATGAGAAGGAAATATGTAGATAGGCTGGATAAAAAGCCACCGATTAGGAAGAATTTACCTCCCAAAGATAAACAGTGTGACCTTCATGTGGCAAACTCCTTTTGGCTTTTCAGAATGACCAATAATGGTCATAGAGGGGCTATATCTAATATCTTATTAATCATGGTAATTGAGCGGTTCGATCTTATTAATCGAAAAGCCTAGCAGACCACACTATAACACACAATGGATTAAATATAATTAAACTGAAGCACAGGTTCAATGCATTATAAGTTGAAATCTATGTAATACTTCTCACCATCACAGTAAAATTCAGTAAATTGACACAACTACTACTGAACTGACTCAAAAATGGTTCAGAATAGCAAATTCTGTAGATGGAGTTAAATATGGAGTATGGACCAAACTAACCCAAATTTTGTTACAGCGGCCTCCATGCAAATAGGAGTGCCATTGATCAAACAGGTTCGGTATCAGTATCCCTTAATTGTAAGGGTAGTGGAAGAAAAGGGTAGGTTAGTGGGCGGAGAAGGAAGATGTGCCCAAGGATTGGGAGAATGAGTTTGTCATTCCATGGCGCATCAGGTTCGAATCATCTCTTTATGAGTCAAATTTTTATTTTTTTGCCACTTAGGCTTAGGTTAGAAATGGCAGAGTGAGGTCAGAGATGAATAAATTACAATTACAAGAAAGGTGGAATAAGAAACTATTGTGTCCACAAGAAGCTCAATGGTTTATCCATCTGAGATAAATTGAGGGAAGCTTTTTAAGATTGTTTGGCCATGTGCAACAAAAGCTAGCTAAGTACAAGTTACAAGTGATTTAATTTAGGTCGACATCATTGCGAGGAAGGGAGCACCGGATCATAGGCCTAGGCAGTGAGACAAGAAATCATGGCTCGTGACTTGATCCAGAACATGATAGAGCTAGATGGCAATAAACAATTCTTGTATTGACATCAAGCAAGTACGATTTAAGAATTCACTGAGTTAAACTCAGTTTTAAGTTCAAGAAATCTAGAAAGTTTATGAGCTCATCGAGAAGAATTAGGAACTATAACAAATTCATGTCATTGTTATACAAGCTTGATTTATATTTTATAACATACATTCAAAATTCTGTTTTTACTTTCTTGATGACATTTTGCTAGTTCGAAGTTAAATGAATTCATTCTAAAATATCACATCGTCAGGTGTACTCCTTGTCTTCCTGCAACTGGACTTTGAATTAAAGTCACATCCTACAAGGAAGACTTGGCTTCAGAAACTTGCATAGCTGCAACATCATGGTTAAAAACATTATTCTATATAACTATTTTCTATTTTTCTTTTTGCCTACCACAATTCAAGATGTTCACAAACAGCTGAATGAATCGCAAAAACATTCTACCATGTAAAAGAAAGATAAAATCAAGCAATCAGCAAACACGATGGAGAAATATTTCCCAAACACACCTCCATCTCCACCATTTATGAACGATAAGAGATCATCAACTGAGCGTTCATCCACGCGCTCTTCTTCAACATCAACATTCTGAAATATATGAAAAAACCCACTTGTGATAACAGCAAACATGTATTTCCATGTTTGAGAGATTTGATGCCACGTAGCTCTATCAAATCTTTGCAACTGATTCAAATTCTCATTTACCAGAAAAAAAACAGTTGGCAACAGACATTCAATAAGACAATGAATGCTGAAAACAAGAGAGGTAGATGTAACCACCTTCAATTTATTCCTTTCTTTTAATTCTTTCCTCTTTCTTGCATATAACCGATTCAAAAGCCGTATGCGTGGATCATCAGTCATGTTTCTCAAGGGCTCCAACTTCTCCTCCTGCAATGAATCAAATCTACTTGAGAACCAACAAAGAAAGACTGAATTTAATATATTGATCTCTTTCTGGCAACACACACCTCGGTAAGATCATCAGGTAAATGAAATGTCTCGCGTATCTCTTCAGGAGTTTTGCCTTCGATCATTCGAGCAAGTGCACGGCTGGTGAGGTCAACCAAAGGCCTCAATTGGAGGCTATCCGCAGCAGACGTTAACTCGCATAACTTTTTTGTATCTAACCTGATGTACTTTTCATCAAAAGTCTTGCGCTCCTAGATACACGGGAAATGGAAATCAAATAAAGTCAAACTAAGCATGGTAAAGAAGAAGAACATTCTTCCAACCTCAATAAGTTATTGTATTTATACATAGTACTCTGTCATTCCTCTGACGCACATAAACTTGAGTATAATTAGATAACTTGTTATAAAAATATTACGAATATTCTATCATGGATTATAATCATCAACATCTTATCTCCCAAGTTCCAACATGAACTGGAAATTTCAGAAGAGAACCAAAAACATGTCAGACCTTATTAGAGCGACCTGGTACTTGATGAAATCGACAGTAATCAAGTATTGAGCCCAAGATAGCAGGATTGACTCGTTGAGGAAGTGATATAGCATAATTTTTGGAAGATCCCATGCCTGTTTTAAGTACTTCACGACATATCATGGGGCAAAACATGGCAACTTCTTCCTCCACTTGTTGAATTGAACCATCAGCAGTTTGAAGCCAGATGTAAGACTTCATTTTGATAAAAATAAGAATAAAAATAGAGAAAAAGATAAGAAAAGTTAAGCAGAGGCCACAACTGAAAGACAAAAGACTAAACAAAAGTGACCCCAATGACAACAGAAATAGATAAAAGATTTAAGCCCAAACCTCAAATCACATATCCCTAACCCCAGCCCTCAAAGTTCTAATGTCGAACAAGTTGAACTATGACCACCATAGATGCTGGTTAATAAATCATCGGTTTTTAAAATGGAAAACTATAACACTTCAAAGCAATTTGCTCTATGCCTAATCCATCCATCTTGGTTTACAAGCAACATTACAGTATTTCACAGCGAAAAAATTAGGCTCAATATAATATCCTCTCTACATACCTGGGAAAGGAGGAATAAAAACCACGATGATAATATATTAAAACTTATCGGAAGAAATATTATAAACTGCCAAGCAAAGTCCTTATACCCTTCAAACAATTTTCAACATCAATTGCCATAGCATCATATCCAGGTAATCCCCCCTTTTCCCCATTGAACCCAGACACAAAATAAAAAAAGGGCCCCAATCAACCAATTACAATCAGGAAAACTGAGTAATTTAACTCGTTTAATCTCCATCCTCCAATTGAAAATGCTGAAACAATTGAAAATAAACAAATAAGACATCCTAATGCATCTATCTAACATACCTCTTTTTTTGCAACTGCCATAGCACCTTCTGACATCAGCTGATCACGGTAGGGTAGATTTCTTTGCCAAAAAGGAAGATTGAAATTAACAAATGAAATGGAAGCTTTCCCTTCTTCAAAAGATGAACCTTGTGAACTGAGTATAGGCTCTCTAACAGTGAATTCAAAAGGGAAACATTTCCATATTCACTAATGGAAGTACAAACATTTTCTCAAAAAAGAAAGCTCATCAGATCTGTCACCCTGCTCAGAAGTAAAGAGGAAAAAGAAAAAAAAAAAAAAGAAGGAAAAAAAAGAGAGAGAGAGAGAGATGGTTGAGAAACCATGAGATGCTACTCTTGAAAATGAAACAAAGAGATTATAGAGTTTGAGCTTTGTTGACACTATGATGCTAATACCGTTTCTTTTTTCTTTTTCTTTTTTGACAAGTAAAAATGTATTAGAAATCATTCAAAAGGGGGACGCTTCCCAAGAGCTGTACAAAAACCAGAAAAAAGAAAGGGGGAAAGACACTATGATGCTAATACCTATAAAATAAATACATTTAAAAAATAAAATTAGTGCCCTCTCTATTCAAAATTAATAAATTCAATACCACTTATAAAATAAAACTAAGAAGTGAAAAAGAAAACCAAAATTTTCCAGGAATACCAAAAGCAAACCAAAGTCCTAAAATTCACAAAATCAGTTCTCCATGGACATCAAAGCAAATAACAGTTATATACAGACCACTAGCTCAACATAACTATAATCATAGTTGTGCTCCATCTTAAGAAACTTCAAATTTTGACAATTAAAACACACACACACACACACACAAATAATAATAAATAAATAAATAACTATTCAAATCCACAGATGGAGACTTGAAACCACAACTTAATCAAACTATGAACCATGGTCCTTACTACAGTTTATGTCTAGGATATTAGAAACCAAAACAACCTCACTCCTATGACATCAGAACCCGCGGATAATATTAACCAAACAGCAAAGTAACTTTAAATATATATTATACATATTAAATATGATTTGACACAATCTAAAAATTGATTAAAAGAGGCCTCAAGCAAGCCCTTTTTTAAAATTCCAAAGTTTATCCCATCTTTAAATTTGCTCTTTCTTGAGTTATTATGGACTGCTCATGGCACAGATCAGTTGATTTGATTGTTATGAAGAGGAGCCAATTCCAATCAATTTATGAAATTACATATCTGGTAATCCAATGGCCCAATTCTTAATCCAGTATTATTCAGAACATGGATTGTAAGTTCTATAAAACAGTCTACTAAGCTCATGTGCAAGTTCTACTCTTAGATTTGATCAGAGAAAATTATACATAACAATTCTCTTTAAAAGTAACCAGAAAACAAACATTAATAATGACGATGATTGGGGTAATTATGGAGATGGTGATGAACTCTAGTTAAATAACAAAGCATATATATATATATATATATATATATATATATATATATATAAAATAGACTCGCAATCAAAGAACTCCGCGAAGAACCAATCTTAGACTAAACAAGGCAAAATGATGAATAAAAAGCTGTGATCCAATTTAATATGATTAAATTTTGAGGGTAAAAATGAGAACTTTGCTTACCTAAAAGATGAAGTGAAACTGAAATTTCAGGATTTATATGAAGAACAGAGAGGGAAAGGGATAGGAGGGATACTGCAGAGAGAGCGAGTGTGTGGTTTTAGAGAGAGGGAGAGATGGAGAGGAAAATGTTAGTGAAAATGGGGACAAAGACTGCTGTTAGGGTTTGCAAAAGCCTCCAATCTCTATCGTCGCTTCGTTTATGATTTGGTTCACTGCTGTGTCTGCACGTGACCCTCGATCACCTTAACAACTCACACGTGTTGGGGGTAAGGGATTAGTTGGGACTTTGGATAGACTATGGATATCCGGCGGGTCGGATCCAACTAATTATGAGTTTTACTTAGAACTTGTCACACGCTAATAGAACGATTAAAAGTATGTTAAAATTTATTTTTAACACTTTCATGATACCATGTGATTTTATGATTTTTCTTTTTATAGAAGAATGGATTTTAAAGTAATTTTATATTATTATCGGTTAATTAAAAAATTAATATAAAATTAAAAAAAATCTAATTCTAAACTCCAAATTAAAGATTTTATTAATGATTATATTGATAAAATGACAAGATATATATATATATTATGGAGTATATACATATATATTTTTTAATCTATGCATATCATATTTGTGTCATATTTTTTAAAATTTATCACATCATTATATTTTTGTCGTCGTATCCGTGTCTGTATTCGTGTTTTTTAATTTTTACTACTTACACAAAACCCGGACGTGAGGAGAAGACTACACCCGGTAAGCCACTAACCCACCCGTATATTGCTATGCCCCCGTGGACCCTGTCTTGTGTTAATAAATAAAAGGTCAGTGTAAATAAATCACGATGGGGAGAGTGTATCATTGTTTATGTGTTGTTGGATAGACCTGAATTTGGTAAGGAAAAATTATTGTCGTTAAAAATATAAATTTCAGAAGGTCTATATTTTTAGTAAAATGTATAGTATATTACTAGATGTAAAATGTGTTGATTTTTATTTTATTTTATTTTATGACAAGAAACTCCCACAATACTAGATTGGAACATTCCTTTTGCTTTGAAGGTGATTTTGCTCTCTGAAAATGTATTTAAAATTAAGAGATGGAACCACCCTAATTTCAAACTGCCTAATGCATTAAAATTGGATTACTGTAAATCAAAACCCTAATCCCACACTACTAGAAAAATAATGTTACTACATGGGAAAAAGTTAAAATGATTTTTCATAAATAAAAACCCTAGAATTGTGACCAGAATATGACTTTACGACTTCCATCAACTTTTATCAAAGATTTGGTTTGTAAGTTTGTAACTAGGTCATGAACACTAGGTAGTAATAGCATTTGTCGACTGCCAGTCTGCCAATATACAACTAACTAAAACTATACAGTTTTTCTTATGATTGAGAAGAATGAGCTCACATGGCAGCAAATGTTATCATATAAGCAAGCAGTTTATATGTCCTTGTAGAGCCTTGTCTCAAGGAAGTATATAAATTGGGTGGGTGCAAGCAAAAGTTTATTTGAGCCGTAAGTATTGTGCACGCGTAAGCGCTTGTTGTGCACGTACGGTTCGAATGAACCCGGCGCATGGTGCGTCTTCGAAGAAAACCTTGACGAGGCCAACCTCTATATTCCAATACATTACGCATTACACATCTTCTGAACAGGTTCACTTGCTAGCAAATGAAATAGCACCATAGACAAAACCAATCAAACCAGTCAAGAATGATCACACTGGAATTTTTTTTTTCTTTTTTTTTTTTTTTTGTGTGGGTGTGTAAATAATTACAAGAAGGGATGTTGTTGCGGTCATCAGTGAACATGGAACCCGAATATTAACACAAATAATAGTCTATACAAAGTTGTAGCTACATAATGCATTTAATTGTAACTTTTCTTGCTTTACAATGTAAATGGAATTATAACTCCGTTTCAGACAATAATTTTCATCTCATATTGTAAAGATCAAAAATTGGACAATAACACAGCTCATTGAGTGTTCATTTGCTCACCAATCTGACATTTGAGCCTTCTGTGGAGCATAAACGTGGGTGAAGACACTCCGATGTAGTATGACAAATGGGCGGCAAAGTAACTAAAACATGAGAAGGTTTCAGGACTGTTGCAGCCACTCTTGAATTGTGTTGTAAAGGGCAAAATTGGGGAGTAGATCGCAGTGCTCAAGCTTTAGGTTTGTCATCGGTGAAGTCTTGTGGCCACTATTCAACCATCCTTTTATCGCGTCTGCTTCATACGTAAAACCATCTGCTGCTATGTGTGGATCATTCATGATGTCCTGCAAATTCAAGTAAAATAGCACTGGTCATAAGAACATTAAAGAAAATTATTAAAATGACAGTTTGCCTATAACTCATATTCATGCATAGCCATTTCCATGTTCAAGTTAACCACTACTACAGATCAGTACACTTCCTCCCTAAGCTCCCTTCAAGTAGTCGCGTCATTAACCATAGCACATCACAACGAATTTACAGAGCAAACTCATTGTTTCAAAGGAAAAAACAGGAGCAATTTTTTATTATTCAACTTTTGTTGGCTCTTTCCGCTGAATTGACGACAATTGCATATGGTCATCAAAGAAGCAGCATGTTCTAATTGTTGGTGACAAAAAAAACAGGAGATGTACCACTATAGTAACCAAATTCTAATGTTAACCCCCCACCGTCAGCACCACCACCAAGAAAAAGTAACCTCACTCTATAATGACAAATAGTGACACTTCCATAAAGAAAATTTGAACTGTCCTGATACAAAACACATTCATAGTTCAATTATTATTTACCTGGAAAATGGGACAGACAAAATGAGATGGAACTCGGCGATGCTCCTTGGAATCCAGGTATGATAAGGTGCATAAATCCCTCATCGGCTCAATCACACCCCATACATCTGACACAAGGTCTGGTCGATCCAACCGTTTCCTCTCACAGCACCTTAATGCCAAGTGAGCCAACTGTTGAGCTTGCTCAAGTGGCCAAGGCCCAGCCGAAAAGTCCAACACTGTCTTTAAATTATCCCTTTCAAGTGCACATTTCACATCCTTCACTATCCCCAAGGCTGGTCTCCCAGTCAAAAGCCGTAACAGTATAATCCCAAATGAGTACACATCAGATTCTGCAGTAAGCTCTCTGGTCTCAAGAAATTCTGGGTCCATATACACAGATACTTCTGGGTTAGTTTTATTACACAAGGTTGACGTGTAAGTTAGATTTCCATCTTGGGCAATCAAATGACAGATGCCCAAGTCACTAAGTTTGCTGACAAATTTGGAATCAAGGAGGATTTTTGTGGGTTTTAAATTTCCATGGATGATACAAGGGTTGTCGGAGTGGAGGAAAATAAGGGCAGAGCATATTTCACTTGCAATTTTAGTTCGAGTTTGCCATGGAAGAGGAGGAGTTTTGCCGCAGCAGGCAAGACGATCTTCAAGGCTGCCATTTTCGAGGTACTCATAGATAAGTGACCGAGATTCTGGACAGGTTCCTATCAGTGTTACAATGTTTGGATGCCTCACCCTACTCAGAAGCCCCGCCTGTATCAAACCCAACACAAGTTTGCACAATCAAATATAGCTGACAATTTTCTCAAGAAAAACACAAGCGATCAAGGATCCATATTGGAATATTATTATTGAGAAATGTTTAACAAGCTAGTACATCAAGCAAACTCTAAACCTGGTCCTTAAATATTAAAATTTAAATGTCATTATATTAACCAGTCCAATTTAAACCCAAAAAAAAGTCATACAAAAAAATAGTAAGAAAATTCAAGTAACGTAACTGATCAACATAAGTTCATTATCACCCAGGATAGTCGTCTTTAAACATTTCATGCCCGGATAAATTTGTTCATGCTTAGAGATTGTGATCTTAGACTCAGCATGACGGTTTTTTTTTTTTTTTTTTGATAAGTAGCATGACAGTTGTTTTGTTCAATTCTAAAACTACATAGAGCTTAAATAATTCCCCATCAACATTAGAAAAAGCATTCTAAAAGATCAATCAACATTAAACACCACAACAGCACACACGCCACCCCCCCCCTCTTCTTCCTCCTTTCCAAATAAACAGGGAGAGGAGGAGGGGGGGAGAAATTCAAGAGATCTGAATTAAAATTATTAGTTTTTAGGTACTGGTAACAACATGGGCAAATAATTTGCAATCTATAAGAGAAAACAAGCCTAATAATTTATTATAACCAGCTACAATGTTAGCAGCATCTATATGTATTATAAGATCTCTCATGCAGGAAACATGATATGTAAGCAATAACACGAATATGTTTCACATAACAATAACTCAAACTTTTTTTCCGAGCGGCCAGTGTTGTCTCCATTAATCAGATGGTGCTGGGAAGGGCGTAATTGATAGAAATCCCTAACCTTTGACATTATTTGTGCAAACTAACTGCCCTCATGTAGTTCTCATGCTTTCACAACCCGAGCTTTTACCACTTCACCAAGCCATGGCCCGTACATATCAATAACTCAATCTGGACAACAGTTGAGCATTGATCTGAACAGGATTGACAGTCAACCTTTTGAAGCTACTGCAATAGGTTTCAGTGCTTTACATATGCTTGGCAAAGTCGCCATACTACAGATGACACTAATTAATGCCAATCTATTGGTGATTAAAAACTTTAAACCTGTATTTCTACCCATTAATTGCTGATTTTTTGTCACAGGAAAAGTTATTAACTAATGCTTCTATGGAAATACTCCTGTTAGAGGGATCTTGAGCCTCTAGTTCACCACAATGTATAATTCGGATTAGTGATCTGGCAGACAGATTCATTAAAATTGAGATAAAAATTTACCTCCTGTTCAAATTCCATATGGCCTTGTGAGCCACGAGAGGGCAACATCTTAATGGCAACCTTCATATGGTGAAGGAAGCCCTTATAAACACTCCCATATCTTCCATCTCCAATCTTCCAGGATGGGTCAAAATTATGTGTTGCCTCATTTATCTCCAAGAAAGACAATGAAAGGAACTGCGACCTGCATAAGCTTGCAGCATCTTCTGCTACCAAATTCCTTAGTGCATTGACTTCTCTAATTGCATTGGCATGCTCTATCTGCATCTCATCCCTTCTTCCCTTGAAAGTCACCAATAGATCCACAGCTTGAATGATCTTCTCCTCCAACTCCTCTTCCGTACGATGAGACTCTGTAACTCGGCTCTCTAGCACCAGCTTCTGTTCCTGGACCATCTGCAGTTGTTTTACAAATTGATCATGCTGATTCTTCATAGTTTCTAATTCTTGCCTTTGTCTAGCGAGCACTTCCTCCAATTCTTTTCTCTGGTTTATCTCCTTCATGCATAAACTTTCGGATGCTTCAGCCTGTAACAAGACACAGCAAAAGGAAGCTACTTAAGGAAAAAGTGGGCTATTTCACAACATCCATTACAAGGCCAGAGATGCTAAACTAAATCAGGATCCTGATCTTTTTTTTAATAAATTCCTATATTTGATGTGCGTATTAATGTAGACCTGACTTGAACATGTAACAAGGTAATGTTTAAATTACATAATAGGTTTGTTTGATGATGATAATAACGATAAACTTAAATTAGAAGGGAAGGAAAGCACAGCATGATATGAAACTCTATTTTGAAGCTCAGCTGTATGGTTAAACTTAACTCTTCTTTTGTTTTGTTTTGTTTTCTTTTTAATTACATTTCCAGAAAGTAACACTACTGTTTATTTTGGAGGGCCACAAAATTGAACTTCGAATATCAAGTTAAAGTTTAATGCATCTGTTATTCCAATGCATCCATAAGGTAATAAAATTGAGTAAGATTTCTAGAACAATTAAACTGCATGGGATGCAGAAGCATACTTGATTCGCTTATCCACAGTTGTTTACTCTAAAGAAGGAATTTATACAGAATAGCATTTTTATCATGCTACAGCAACAGCCAAAAAGAGCCAAAAAATAAATAGAAAAAACGAATTTAAAGAGAGATTAATGAAAGATAAAGTTTACCTTGTGCATAGCTTCCATGGCATCTTCTTCAGCTTTCCATCGCCTCACTGATTCTTCAAATGCTTTCTGCTTTGAGTTTTCGGCATCTAACATGGCGTGCTCTAGTTTATCATAAATTTCACAGGCCGCTTTTTCTTGAGATTTTTCCTCCTGGAAAGTCAATGGACCACTACAACCTAATCAAAACATAAAATCGGGAAGACTTGGATAATGAACTTGCGGGAATAAAATCAAGTCCAGAGTTCTAGATATATATATATATATATATTTTTGGTAAATAGAGTTCTAGATATATATGATTTATCTGAGACAGAAAAAACTCTTTCATCTCTTGTAACAAGAAAATTAAAGTAAGTTCTCTATCTTCTAATTTACTAATAGCAAGCAAGAAAAGTTTCAAGAGTTCCAATATTATTAAGTAAATAATTTTCCATTGAAAAATGGTGTAGATACCAGTAAAATAGCAGACGACAACTGATGAAGGTTATCCTGGGACTTGTACAACAAAGGAAATGGTAAACAATCTCCGCTCATTACGTCCATCGGCAAGGGGGCTGGTTCAAGATTACCAACTACTTTGTCCGTTGACCTAATTGAGTGCACCATACATTGAAAAGTGAACCTCCTTGATACTCCCTCCAGTTCATCGTCATCTACATCTGCACAACTTTGTAGCAATGATTTTCCACCAGTATTTGTAGGAGAAGACAATGCAACGATGCTCCCCACACAAGAGCTAGCGTTCACAGACCTTGCTCAGAAAAAGGAAATATGATCTATGTTAGTAAGCTTCAATAAAGATTCCTATAGTCCAACAGATTCTGATCTTAATAATTCAGCAATGCAAGACCAATTTCTGGATCAGTGTCAAGTTCTCTGTGTTCCCTGACTTTTCTTCTGTGCTCCTTGTATAAAGAGCAGTGCAATAATATAACCGTACGTGCAATGTGATAGTCACCTTTTGTTACAGCATCACCCATTGTCATAATTATTAATCGAGGGCAGTAAGAGGGGCAGACTCAGTATAGATACAACCTTTAGTATTATTTTCACAAAGTGACTGTCCTTAAACTCAAATCCAATTTCTCTTGCTTGGCATCTCAAATTTTTACCTCTACAACTAGCAATGGTGCTCTTAGTGTAACAATCGGTTACTCTACAACAATGACTGAAGAAACTAAGATGGAAACTAATGCAGTAATCAAAACTCGAGATCCCAAGATACTACAACTTGGAAATTGGAAAGCCAAGGAATATATTAAGTCTACAAAACTAATAAGAGAACATGCTGTTTCTCTAGAAGCTTCACAAGTCTACAGGGAAGCAACCAAATGGCCAGAAGATTAGCCAAAAATGATATAAAATGAACAAGAAGGTATCATATACTAGATTGTCCCAAAATATCTCATTCTAATGTGAACGGTAATAGATTGAGTGTGTGATGACTTCAACTTACAGAAGACTTTGACGTACTAATGCACATTGTAGAAAAAAGGGTGCATCATCTAATTCGTGTGTGCTCTTCCAACTGAATCCTAATGTCAGTAATTTTAATTCCTCTAGTTCAAACTACAGAGTTAAGGATTTCATTAAGGACTTGATGGAGTTTAGGCCCGTAGGCTTGATATATACAGTACATGTGACCAGGCCAATTAACTGGTCCTGAATGGATCCAATTGGCCAACTACTGAGCTGATCATAGATTTTTTTCAGCCAGAATCAGGTACATATTAACAACCACAAAACTTAAAATCTCCAGTCCAACTAGCTGGGTCAACTACAGGAATGCTTTTTCACCATTCAACTCTCCTTTGGGGCTACATTATCTTTTCCATCATTTGCCAACCAAATAAATATATGCAATAACAAAGTTGAAAAATAAACTAATCAAAAGTTGAATATACCTTGTATAAATGAGGCTACTCTTGCAAACAAACCAAATATGACAGGAAGCTGGCGCTTGTTGGCACACAAATAATGCTTTCCTGGATTTGAGCTTCAACAGCTTCCTGCAATCTCAATAAGTTTGGGTTAGCAGATATAGAACATATAAATCTGAAAAATAAATACAAATTTTTGGAAGAACATTCAAATTAACCAAATAATCTAGCAAGCTAATTCTAATGTAACAAATGCACTGCATGAATCGCAATATCTACAGGACTTACTTTGTTATGCTACCATTTAAGGCCTCAAGCTTTTAGACATGCTCCTTATACCCCTCTATTTAACTCATTGAACCTGACTCTTTTAAGCAATATTCACCTGTTGGGTCATGGGTGGATTATATAAGGAAAAAAGACTACAAGTCTATAAGTGGGCATCTAACAGCTTATAACTTACAGGCTTCTTTCCAATCTGTCAGGCTATGCCCTCTATCAGTTGACATTTTAGCTACCCATAACCCAATGCAATATACCTCCCATTCGAATTCCTATTATTCTAATTTTTGTCATTACTTCTTCAGTTCGTGGATCAGGATCAAACAATTTTGGCAGTTTATATATGGGTACGTAACAGGACATCATCAAAAGACCTTGAGAGTGCTTCCCATATTAATAGTCCCTTTTCGGAGGGTGTAATGTATTTGAGCAATCCATTACATAAAACCAACAACAACATCACAATAATAAAAAGAACAGAGGAACTGTAGTGGACGTTTCATACTTTGAATAGTTTTTATCTGCTGCTGCTCCCATGACAAGCCATCTAATATTATGCTGTGATATAATATGTACAATCCCTTTCTCAACATTGTCCATTTCAATCCAAACTTTACCTGCCTGCACCTGTAGAGGGACACTGTAGTCGATCATTTTGAAAGAACTAAAAGATTATATCAGATCGTCTTTTAGAAGGAAATTCAATGTGTAATATGGTTGACATTGGAAGCTTACACAATAAATAAAATAAAATAAAATAAAATAAAGAACATCCAACCATGAAAAGTCAATAACAATTTATTTTATAATACATATTTCCATAACCTTAATATATATATCACCAACACACAGTTAATGCTAATGTATATGTTTCAGAACAAAGCCAAAATGGTAGAAGAGATTTATTTTATAATACATATTTCCATAACCTTAATATATATATCACCAACACACAGTTAATGCTAATGTATATGTTTCAGAACAAAGCCAAAATGGTAGAAGAGAATGGAAAGGAACAGTACCCCTACTTGGGTAAGAATGAGAATATATTGATTTAGAACTTCGTGCATTTTTTGCAATTCAAGATCCCGGCAGGAATTAACTGCATGTTGCGTCAGTTTCTTAACTGAAAACTTTCCATCCACTGCAAATAGACAAAGAAAAGGAGAAGCATAACTATCTTACAAATTGAAATGCAGGTAAAAGATTTAGAAAAATAAGACAGAAATAAAAATTGTCTGTTTTTAGCCGTAAAGATCTGTTTCTAATTTTTAATTAAAAAAGCTGTGAAACAAGGAAAAAAAAAATGGAAAATTGGTGGCCTAAACAACTGTTCTCACTCAAAAATGCATCTTTTGTTTAAATTCATTCTGTTATTGAATTCAAGCTGGAACACAAAAGTGCTACAACAGTAAACAAGATGGTAATTGCTGATTTTTGTTATCACATGTCCCTACATGCAAGATTGCAAACAATAAGGATGGTACATCTGTAGCTGATTCTTTATTTTAGAAATCATCAATAATTTCTACCAAAATTCTAAATATCATATTGTAACAAATAAATAACTAGTTTTACTCTTCCATACGTATCAATTACTGATCAATGGCTATTAATAATTAAATACATGGAATGCAAACTTAAGTTTTCATCTTTCCTATAACTACCCAAAGTCTGGCATATAATGGTTATTTATATTATAGGTAAAACCATAATTTCGAACTAATTAAGATAAAATGGCTATATATATTATAGGTAAAAACATAATTTTGAACCAAGGAAGATTAAATAAATAAATAAATATATATATATATGATCTTGTAAAAGCACTGATTTTTGAAACCAATCAAGTAATAGGAATTGCTATTAAGCCAATTAAACTGTCAAGACATGTGTCTCAATTCAACTTATAGGACACCCAAATAGCTAAATACCTCATCAGTCCCATAAATTCCCAAAAAAAACCCATCAATCACTTAATCAAAACAACTAAAACTTGATTCAAATGGTAAATTCCCGTGGTTCACAAGTCAACAAACGAACTTACTTAGTGACACTAAATGTGCAGGTTGATGAACATGAAGAAGACATAGGTTCTTCCCAGCAAAGCTCTGCAATGCCCACAACAGTGTCGATTTGCTCTCCTTCACATTCTTCCCCACCGCGACGAACACCGTTTTTTCGACGTCGCAACAAAACCCTTCCGTCTCAATCTCTCTCTCGCCGCCCATCAATCCTAACCTTCCAAAATCTCACACACACGAAATCCCCAGAGCATTGATTGAATTCGATTATGGGTTGTAGAGTATTGAAACTCTTAGCTTTTGTGGAGACTGAAGTTTAAAGGGGTTGATCAAGGTTTGAAGAGCAATTGCTTGATCAAGTGATTCGAACAGTATGTGAATCGATGGAATCGAGAGAGATCGAATGGCTTTGATTGATTTCAAAGGTCATTTACTAGGAATCAGTTTTCTTCCACTTTTGGCAAAAAAAAATTGCTTTTGAGTTTGTGATGGCACTCAAGAGATGAAAAGGCAGAGAAAATAAAAAGCAACTCAACCATGGTCCTTTCCTGCACTTTCTCTCTCTTTCTCTTTCACTCTCTCTCTCTCTAGAATTCGTTTTAATTCCCTTTCATACCTTAAAAATGGGGTGGTAGTATTCACACGGTCTAACGTATAATAAGCTTATGCACGTGTAATGAAAAGATTGGTTTGATCAAGTCAGGGAGGACAGAAAACTCATATATGTGAACCAAGATGATCATGGATGGAATGTTACACAATAATCTATGGTGGGCTTAAGCGTAGGCAATCGGACCCCTCGCGTAGCTTTAGCTGTAAGTAAGAACTAATAAACGTACGCGGGCCGGCGAGAAGGCTAGAAAAGTAGTACAAAGTGACGTTGGAGTTCAATAGGGTTGGTCGTGTTGGTTATCAACTTAATTTGAATTATTAATTTCAAATTGAATTATGTAAAACTCAATGCAACTTCATTTTATTTTATTTTTGTCGTAAAATTGTTTTTCTAATTTTTGTATGGTTTGATTTAATTATGTTTTTTTTTAAGCACGACTTAATTATGTGGAATAGTATGAATTGTGTTTGGGGAGCTTCCAAGTTCCAACATCAAAAGGCCTTTCTTAAACCTTGTCGTGTTGTTCCTAAGTTACAATACTGAAGAATAAACATAAATATCAGTTTTGAATTAATCAAATTTTAAATTGATAATAAATTAATTAATAAATAAATACCCAATCGAGTGAAAATCAGCTTTCCTAAGAATTGTCCCGTGACACCCCCTTTTGAAGCCCCAAAATGTACGTACGCGTTCTTTAAAGAAGTAAACACCATTCTACGCGCCCCATAACCCGTTCTTTAGAAAAGTAAAACACCATTCTATGCACCCCCGTGACCCCCGTAGAGTACCATATACACAACCAAAAAACCATATGTTTTCTTCTCTTCTTTGCAAGTCATTTTAACTTGGGGGAGCCCGTTCACCGATCTTGCTTACTATATTATTATAGTTATATTCTTAATTTTTTTGCATATATATGAAAATTTATTTATAATGCCTTCTTAAATTATTTTAGTTTCTAAAGTTCTCTTTAATTTTTCCTTGCTTTCCTCCTCTCTTTAAATTCCTTAAAAAAGTTAAAAAATTTATTCTTCAAACTCTAATTATCTTTCTTTCTAAAGTTACGCCATTTTTCTTTTCTTTTTCTTCCTCTTCTACTACCTAAAATTCTTCTTAAATTCTTCTTATTTTTATTCGCCCCCCCCATCCCAAAAATTGAAATCTTGGCTCCGCTTGTCCACAAAGCTTCTTCAAATCTCATCCTCTACAAACATGTTGGGGTGGGGGTTGTGAATTTTTTTTATTAATTTCAGGGAAGCAACAATATATTTTTATAGGTATATATATCAAAATTTTAAAAGTATTAGGGTATATAATACTAAAAATATATATATATAATATTGGGTCCGTGTCAGCCCGGACTCGGACACGACTAAAAGTGACTTAAAAAATATATATATATATGTACATGTGTGTGTGTGTGATATATATATATATATTCGAGACATGACATAGACACCACATTCATGACATGACAAGGTAATTTTGTATTTATTATATTTAAAAAAAAAATAATATTTAATATAATTTTAAATATATAATGGGTCAACTAGAAAAATAATATAAATTACTAAAACAAAAATAACATACATCTAGCTCCAAATTATAAATTTTTAGTAAAATTATTAGTATTAGTTTATATACAATAATATATTATATTTATTTTTCTTTGATGTATTTGTGCCTTATTTATGTCTTATGTCTTATTATTATTATAATTATTTTGACATTTTTCTATAGTGAACACGTACTCGGTGTTTGTATCTGTATTTCCCTACATGTTCATTGATGGGAGATGCCACATAACAAATACTTTGGGGTTTGCAGACTTGCCCTGGCTCTGTGTTAGGGCAATTGGGACCATCCCTCTCCACAGTTGCACCTAGAATTTATTGTTGAACCAAGTGCAATACTTACTTTAAAATACATTAATTACTTATTTATGGACTCTAATACCCTTTTAAGACTTTCTTCTCTCTTCTCTCTTGTGCTTCGTCCGGTGGAAAGGAAAAAAATTGAATAGAAGGGAGAAAATAAAGGATGACTCAGACTATGCATTTTCTTCGGTTAGATGGAAGAGAATGAAAAAAATTGACAATTTAATTTAATCTGTAGAATAAAAAAGAAAGATAAAATTTTAAATTATTTTTACCATTAAACGATGTAGTAATTTAAAACTTCTATAATAAACTTACTTGTTTCTTTCATATCTTCGCCAAAATATGAGCAGATGAAAATTTGTTAAGAAGGAAGAATAGACTTATCCCTTCTTTTTTTAGTATTCAACTACTCTTTGATGAACAAGGTATCAGTATACTCACTTTTAATCATGTCTTTTGAATCTAATCTTACGACAATTAGTTAATCAATTTTTTCTCTCTTATATTTTAAGAAACTTATCTTTTTTCAATTACCATTATATATTATTAACAAAAAAATGACAAAACTAGACATACTTTTACTGGAAACTAAACTAAAACCAATTTGGCTACGTTTTTCTTCTATACTACTTGCCTTCTGGAGAAAAGAAAATATATATATATATTGTCCTTGCCTTCAACCGTACCAAACTAATTAAGAAATTTTCAAAGCATAACAAATAAATCCTTCCCATTTGTTCAACCATAGAAGGAAATTCGCAAAGCATAAGGAAGAAAAGAAAAAAAATTCCCATCCGATCGACCACAGAGGGTAGTGGGCAGTTCAAACATAGAAGGCAATGGAGTCTGGAAAATAAAAAATAAAAAAATCAGTCATAATGGCGATCTTATTTTTCGCAATCAAAACGAAAAAAAGTTAATTAAATCATTTTTGAGTGGTTAATTTACAGTAACATTATCATTCGATGTACAGTTTTTATTGAAATGATTTAATCATGTTTTGAAATTATTTCATTTCACTATCTACATTTACACTATCATTTTGTTTGGGATCCAATTATTTACATTCCTCCCTCAAGCATAAGCTACAATGTTAAATAATAGTCACTTCGTGCAAGATTTAATTTTGATTTTCTTCAACCGATATTGTCTATTCAAATAGATTTCTATTTATTGTTCCATGCCCTCTCTAGCTACTTGAAGTACTAAGAGAATTAATTTTTTTTCATGTTAAATATATTCATACTAAATTGATTCATTTCATCTCCAAGTGTGTATTCATACAAGAAAGATTTACCTTGATGATTATTTAACATTGTCTTAGTTCCTTCAATGTCTATTGAACACATTCATACTTGAGTATTATTTTATTGGCTTGGCCGTAGAAAAGGTAGGAATTTTTTTTATTTTTTTCAGACGCTACTGCTGCTACTCATTTATTTTTTATTTTATTATTATTATTTTTAGACGCCACCTTATGTGTTTCAATGGGCCACTGCCCTCTATGGTTGAACGGATGGATTTTTTTTTATTTATTTGTTATGTTTTGAGAATTTCTTAATTAGAATGGTATGATTGAATGACATGAACAAGTTTTTTATTTTATTTTATTTTATTTTATCGGAAATGAACCACACGTAGTATACTAGTATATAAGAAAAACATAACCAAATTGGTTTTAGTTTAATTTCCATTAAAAACATTGCTAGTAATTGTCATTTCTCATTAATAATATATAATGGTAGTAGAAAAAATTGTAAGTTTCTTAAAGTATAAAAAAGAAAAACTGATTAACTAATTAAATATAAAAGCGAAAGTGGGTATACTACTCCCTGTTCACCGGGAGCAGTTGAACACCACTTATGATGTACATATATATCAAATATTATCTAGACGAGTGAATAGATTAACCTTGAAACAACAACGATTAATTACTATTGCTATAAAACAAGCTCGTATTTTATCTTCGTTACCTTTTCTTAATAATGAGAAACAATTTAAAAGAACCGAGTCGACCGCTAGAACTACCGGTCTTAAAACCAGAAAAAGTGGGTATACTACTCCCTGTTCACCGGGAGCAGTTGAACACCACTTATGATGTACATATATATCTATATCTATCTATACTATTATAAAAGTGTAGAGAATTTTTTAAGATTTTTAGATTTTTTTAAAATACAAAATGATTTCATTAAATACTTTACATTATAATATATACTTATATACTATTTAGAATTTCAATAGCCACATATGATTAAATGAGTCATCTCTGAATTCCAATAGTCACATTTGATTAATGATGTATATATATTTTTATTATTTCTATACATTTTTAACAATTTTGAATTAGAGTATTTATTTAATGGTTAAAATAAAGAGTTAATAAAAGTACTTTTTATAACTAAATACACGGAATCAATATCCAGAAAAAAGGGAAAAAAATAAAAGAAAAACATTTTTTATCCCACTTCTTAAAAAGCAACCCATTTTCCTTCCCCAAAAATTTCATGCCCTAATCCACAATATTAAAAAAATAAATAAATAAATAAATACTAAAAGTGCAAAGAATTTCTTAACATTTTTTAATTTCAAATTTTAATGTGTAAAGCACTTTCTCTACTTCTTAATTTTTTTAATTTTTTTTTTCATAAAAATGTCTCATTAAATTATATAATTATTCATACCATAATGATGTATTTTTTTGACTGTTGCAATTATTGAACTTCTAACACGATAGTATGGAGCTATTCAAGTTCTCATTAAATCATGTAATAATTCAGACCATAATGAGACTTTTTTTTTTTTTTTTTGTTGAAATGTATTTTTTGGTTACATATATTTATACCTAAAATAATTTATTTTTTATTCTAAAAATGTAAAGAATTTTTTGGTTTTCTAAATGTTTTTCATATTTGTTAAATAAAATAATTTTGTTAAATGTATCTTTTTGGTTATATATCTATACCTAAAATAATATATTTTTTATTCTAAAAGTGTAAAGAATTTTTTTAATTTCTAAACTTTTTTCATATTTTTTAAAATTAAAAAAATAAGGTTTTTGATTTGATTCAAAGTGTTCAAAATATTTTCTAATACAATTT